TGACGTAACAGTAACAGGATTGTCCATTTGATAGTACGAAGAGTCTTTTTTGTTTTTTCCCCTTTCTTTATTTGGATTTGAATCCATTTCATGGGTGTTTTTCGGTTGTGTGACTTTCTCTATATAATTGCTTTCCTCGGTAATATATACCAGCGATCTTTTCTACTTAAAAATATACAATTGACAGCCACCAAATATTAGACATATAGTCATGTTACAAAAGAGAAAAACGTAACACAATATTAACAAAATGAAAGAGCTAGCCCCATTAATCCTATATTAATTTTAAATTAAATCTATTCTAAAAATATATTTTTATCTCTAGGGTTCCCCATTAGCCCACACACGTACAAATAACAAGCATTAACCACACATGATCAAACAACCGAAATCTATTCGAACAAGAGTTCAAGAAGATCTCCAAACATTACGTAAAACGTACGTAATGTTTTCTAATGAACGGATCGAAAATTAACAAACATATAAAAAGTAGGAATTTTTCCAAAAGTAGCATTGTTTTAAAAAAAAAAATTAAAAATAGTACCAAACTCCGAAAAATTCCAAAAATAGCACCCTTTCTGCAAAACCGCCACCCGTACCAGCGGTTTAGGCGAAAACCGCCACCCGGGGGCGTGTTTTTCGATGAAAACCGCATTGGCAGGGGGCGGTTTTACAGACCGCACCCCCACCATGCGGTTTGGTTGCAGACCGCACCCCCACCATGCGATCTGCTCTCTTTTTTTTTTTTTTAATCCTAACCTAGGTGGAAACTTCAAAAGAACGTATTTTTGTGTTCGGGTATCCGATCGTCGCGAATTTTTTTTTTTTGATTCCGCATAACTTTTTGAGATCTTGCAAGTCGAAGACTGCCGAAGGTGGTGTGGTCCCACCTTCGTCCCAAAAAATGTCGTTTGCTACCCCGAACGAGCTTTTTTCCAATTTCGTCAAACTTTGGACAAAAATTGTCGGCAGGGTCTGGTACTACACACAAACTGCTTTTACTGTGCATTGTGACCTAAATGTAGTGTTCTATCCTGGCAGTGGGGTGGCATGTGGGCGGGTGTTGGGTGTTGCCTATTTGGAATCGGATGGAATTTGCCAACTCGGTTGTGATGGAACTCTCATTTGTTTGTTGCTGGTTCGGTTGGTGGTTGTCGACCGCGTTGGTCACCAACCAACCAGAGACCTTTATATGCCTAGGGCCTGCATAGGTGCGCGGATCGATGTTTATTCAATTGCTTTTGGAATGTTCAGTTGGGAAGGGATCGCAGTGGTTGGAGATGTAGCGGGTTGGGGGATGTGTTTGTTGTGTATCAGAGAGGTTGAGACAGACAGTGTTGTCTTGTTTTTGACGAAATCGGAAAAAAGGTCGTTCGGAGGTAGCAAACGATATTTTTTGGGACGAAGGTGGGACCACACCACCTTCGGCAGTCTTCGACTTGCAAGATCTCGAAAAGTTATGCGGAATCAAAAAAAATTCGCGACAATCGGATACCCGAACACAAAGATACGTTCGTTTGAAGTTTCCACCTAGGTTAGGATTTTTCAAAAAAAAAAAACCCGCCCCCTGCCAGTGCGGTTTTCATCGAAAAACGCGCCCCCGGGTGGCGGTTTTCGCCTAAACCGCTGGTACGGGTGGCGGTTTTGCAGAAAGAATGCTATTTTTGGAAATTTTCGAAGTTGGGTGCTATTTTTGGAATTTTTTTTAAAACAGTGCTACTTTTGGAAAAATCTCTAAAAAGTACAACATCCAAATTCCCGATCGTTACAAAAAAAAAGTTGTTTTCAATGGATCATATAAGTACAATTAATCTTACTACGATTCGAACGTCCCATCCTAACATGATTCACGATCGTTAGTAACACACAACAGTTTTTCTCAACTCGGACGACAACCACAGAATTTCGATCACGAACTAGTAAAAAAACAAAAAATGGAGGAAGTGGACAAAAGCGCTCTGAAATCGAGCCCAGACTTAAAGGAGTGATGATGGCTGGGGGGATTCACTTATTATTTATAGCACAAGAAATTGACGATTCGAGTTTGTAAAAAAAGCCACCATCGGTTTTTTTTATTACGTCTTTACGCCATCGTCTTTGTCGCCTTGTTCGTGCTTTTTCAGTTTTGTTTTGTTTTGTTTCAATCAATTATTATTCGTCAAAAATTTTATTTTAATTTCTGGAAAATTTTGCCTTTTTTTTTTTGTATCGTCGTAGCCTTCTTCTTTTTTCCTTTTGTATTCTCCACGTATCCTTTCTCGACTCGCCATGCACCATATCGTCGTGCCACGTTTTCAGTTCTTGATAATAAATAATAATTTTTTTGAAGCAGAGCTACCGTGGACTACTTCTCCGCCACCTTTCTCGAAATCTATTTTTATATATATTTGCATGCAAAGTTATATAAATGCAAATACTCCCATTTATTGTTTCCCTATCTACAACAATGAAAAAAAACCCTCTTTTCACACACCAGTTTTCACTTTCACTTATCAAAAAATATAGGAAACCATCGCGAACACCATAGGTGATATCAATGGTATAAAATATATTATTCATCTTCTCGAGAGTTATTAGATTTAATTCATTAATTGCCTTCACAAGATATTAGAGTGTAATTCGATTGAAAAAAATCTTGTATTTTGGATTTTAATGACTTAATGAGAGAGACTAGTTTATGTTAATCTTTCAAACTTTTTCTTTATATACGATAAATCTATCCTCCAATAATATATAGTAGAGTTTTGTCTACTTTTCTCTATTTCAAAATTCCTGCAACGAGAGTGAAAGTAGGAAGGACATTTCTGTCTTTACAATTAAATAATTAATTATTCCATATAAAAAGTGTCAATATTAGGATTTGAACCCGGGTCTCTTCAAACAAAGACAACAATTATAACCAATCACACTAAACAAATTTGTTGTATCGTTTTTAATACAAAACATACACGAAGTAAAACTATGAAAATCAATGGACTTTTCCATCGTGATTAGCAAGCCCACTAAGTCTACCGTATGTATTTTTATTGTGCTTGATACTTCAATTTTCATAGCAGAGTTTCATGTAGTTTCTCAATTCTAAAATTACTGCTCTCTCCTTAATTTTCGCTAAAGGTATATTGGTAATTGGCTAACACGGAAGAAACTAATTCTATTACTACGTATTGTGTCCTTGCAGTTTTCAATTTATATTTAAAGTTAGTACTTTTTTTTATCTTTTTCTGATCTCTTTCTAACTTTCTCTCAAATTCCATCCATCGTGCAATAGTTTGCGCCCCTTTCACTTCACAATACAAGGCCGCCTTTGAAAATCAATCTTCCGATATCTCTTGGCACAACGATTTTATATTTTTATTCTTGAGGATTTAAACTGGGCAAGTAGATGATTTCAACTCCGATATCAATCTATGGTGAATAGAATGGAGTTTAATAAATGGAATTGTAGAAGGAGGATTAGAAATTGAATATTAATTTGGTTGAAACATACATACGCCGCTTGAGATTGAAGATAGAGTGGATAAATTTTTTATTGTACAACGGAGAGTGGTGGCTATTGGATCTTTAGGTTTATGGCTTTTGCAGCTATCGCAACCTAATTTTATCTTAAAACGAAGAATTATTGATTGATTTACTGAAGTAGGTCGGTTGATTCTTTATTCAACCTACTGGAATTGATAAAGAAGGAGTGTCTAATTTTGTTCCTTATTACTTTGATCGAGTTTGTTAGTATGTGGGAGGTACCCTAATTTTGGTGTTTGCTCTCAAGTTTTGATGGTCCCCTCTTAGCCGAGTTGTTAGTGTATAGTTGACTTGAATCAACAACTCTCCATTTAGTTTCAAACTATCTATGGTTCGTGTGTAAATTTTAGTGAGCTTTTATGCTCTATCTTTCTTGACAATCAACTAACCAATATCATTTTATCGGGGACGTAAATATCATTATGAAAATGTGATCAATGATACATTTTTATATTTTATATTCTTAAATGATGATGATATTTCTCCAAATTTTCGACCTATATATTCTTTCTTTACGTATCATCTCGATCGAATGATTGTCAATAAAATTAAATGGGTTGATAGACTTAAATATAACATGAAAATATAAATAATAAATATGAATATTCCGGCCAACTGGCCGGGTTATAAGCTAGTTTCAAATAAGATCTATTGATAGTAAGAAACTCCACACGTTCTCAACCTGATCTATAAAGTGAAGTCATACCTAGAATTGGAAGAAAAAGATTTCAATGACGGTTCAAAATTGAAGGAACTCATCTTCTTTCTTTTTTGATTAGCTTCCTCGCGTATGTATAAGGCCGAATCCATTTGAATTTCAATATTTACCGTTGATTAGAGCATAAAGTACAACCAATTTGTACAAATTCCAGACCCATTAATTGGCTTAGATATGGCTAACTAAAGTTATTGTCACCTGAGTAGTAATCTTTCCTAACAATAGGTGGAAGTGCCACTCTGAGAACATCCAACCGACGAAATTGGGGGGCAATGCGGAAAAGATTAGCATGGCCTCTGAACAAGAATGATACTTTTCTCTCATTTTAAAATGTAGGACGTACGTCAACTGAAAATTCAAGATTTTCAGGACCATTATGTGGCTATATATCGAAGTTTCACACATGCATGTACTATTGGTCAAACGGGACCAGTGATAAATTGAAATACATCAAAGACATGCATTGCACTCGATTTGGAAATTGGAATTACTTTACGTTTAATGTGAATTAGAGAGCTCAAGCCTAGCTAATCTGATTATATTAGTACGCACCAAATTAAAGTCGCAATCTTTTAGTATGAGAAAGGGAGTGTGAAGGTGACTGCAACAAAGGGAGATACACGCATATATATAGTGACCATCATGATCCACAGGGTTCAAAGTAGCTAGGCTTAATTATGCGGTCTTTAAGAAAAGTATTGTGATTAATTAGTTTATTAAGCTTGATTTATATACCGAGAGAAAGCAAAGCGAGAAAAGGTACTTTAATTTAATTTGGTCGTCAGGACTTGCACCTCAAGGCTCAAGTCACCGGCCCGAGTCTGCTCCACGGCCTGAATCACGTTGAATCTTTTGTTCATTAGTATTAATAACTCGGGTTTGTATAATCAAAAGGAAACAAGTAATTTAGATCGATCATAGTGCAAAATACACATTCACATTTAACATATGAGGATATGGGGTAGAGAAATAATATCCATATATGTGTATCAAGTAGAGATGGAAATTGGTACGGTATTTGGTATCGGAATACCAATACTAAAATCTTAAATAACGAATTACATCCTACAATTTATGTCAATCTCAATCCCCTAAATAATTTTGATATCTCAATCCCTAAATATTTTGGTATCACAATCGATATTATTGAATACAAAATTAATTACCTTTGCAGTTAATAATTAAATATATATAAATTTAATTTAATTGTTTAATTTAGGGCAAAGAGACTAAGCAACGAGTATTGAGTTTGCCTAGAGCTAGGACACCGAATAACACTTGAAAATGAATCTCAATCCCAATTCCTAGAAAATAAGTCGGTATCCGATAATACCTAATAGTGATAAATTCGATATGGTATACAGTATACCCCAAATATCGGTACCAAACTTCGAGCCCTATATCAAGTATTGAACCCTTGACTTTTTGGATAATGAATAAGTATCGTATCACTACACTACATATTATTTCTTGTTTATTTTCAATTTTATTAATTAATTTTATTTATTAATTTTATGAGAAGAGGACACAGGTATGTTTGAATCCTGGCTTCGCCACTGACTCCAACGGCAATTAATTTTGCCCATCTACGCCATTAATTTCCTCGTCCTCTTTTTTCAGAAATGCCAGATCACATTATAGTAAAAGCGACGAGATCCACTCTCAAGTCTTGATCGATACATTATCATTTGGTATATTGATGAAATCCTTTGACCCAAACACAATTGTATACAACAACTGGATAATCACCCAGACTTGCGTCGGTTATACAGTTATTCACTCATTCGATCGATAGAGAACATCCTCGGTGCATCACCATCTTAGAGACCCACAATCGCATGTGTCAACACGGTTTATCATCGTACTACCAGAGCGCATCTCAAAGGTGCGCACCAACACGGTTTATCATCGTACTATATGTTTTTTTAACCATATCGCGACAATAAATAAACTTCATTTATTTTTATTAATAATACGAATTAGGATTGTCTCGAAACCGAAAATTACCAATTGGCAAATTCCGGTGAGTAACCAAATAGTGAGAGTAGTAAGTAGTACACAAAAGACAACCTGTCCTCCACCAACATACAGCCTGGCATTGTCCTCTTCCCTCTCCTCCTCCACTGCTCTCTGTTCTATGCAATGGATTCGTTCTTCTCCTTCTTCTTCCTCCCATCTCTCCTCCATAATCTCTTATTATACAAAAATTAATGGAAAAAAACTCCAATTTCCCCTTTCCAAAAAACACGACAAATTGTCAATTTCCTACGTGGCACCCACGGCACATCTCACGAGGCGTCTCTTTCCTCTCACTCCCTATATAACTTTCTCCCTTCCATTTCTCCTCTCGCCATTCCAGCCTTCTCCGATCAGAAAACCAAAGTACAAAATTAGCAAATCAATCGCTTTTCCCGTGACTGGAAAACAACAAGAGCCCATCATTCAGATTTCGTTAAAGTCTCGATCTTTATCGATTCCGGCCGATTTTGAATACGGAAATGGGCAACTGCCGATCTTGCGATTCTACACGCGTCGGCGGCGGCGCGTCGACGGCGAAGCTGATCCTCCAGGACGGGAGGCTCCAGGAGTTCTCTTATCCGGTGAAGGCGTCGTTCGTCCTGCGGATGATTGACACCCACGCGCCGCACTTCATATGCAACGCCGACGAGATGGAGTTCGACGACGCCGTTTTGGCGGTCGACGACGAGGAGGAGCTCCAGCCGGGGCAGCTCTACTTCGCCCTCCCCGTCGCCTGGCTCCGGCGGCCTCTCCAGCCGGAGGAAATGGCCGCATTGGCCGTGAAGGCCAGCTCGGCGTTGATGAAGACTTCCGCCGGCGGCGGCATCGATTTCGAGAAATCTGGGTGTCGTAGTGATGTGGGGAAGTGCCGGCGGCGAGGGTCCGCTCCCCCCGCGGCGTCTGCCGGCGGGAGGAGGAGTAGGAGGAGGGGAAGCAGCAGCGGTAGCGAGAAGAAGTTTGCGGCGATGTTGAGCGCCATACCGGAGTGAGCCGGAAGGGTAGTTTGGGAAATGAGTGTAAATATATTAGACGAAGATTCCATGGAAAATTGAGCCCTCTTGTTGAGGATGTCACCCATTTATGGGCTGTATTACAATTTTACCCCTAGATGAGTTGATGATGAATTGATGAGCCTTTGTTGTTCAAAAGAAATTCATATGATGGTCATTGGTGATTATGATTTCTTCTCCTTCATTAACCTTTGATTTCTGAACTGTGAAAGTTTCCAATTTAGGAACTTTAATCACAAATTATGATACTAAACAGATTTGATATTTGTACTAGTAAATAATCACTTTCAAGATCTACCGTCGTTCAATATCGATAACGAAATTAATCGATCATCGGATCCCTGCATTTCTGTTGTCGATCCTGGTGAAAAGTTAAAAACTATTGGAACTTTATAATCTCAGTCATATTTCTGTTTCTAATTGAGATGATGGCGTGATTAGGCATTGTAAATTGCACTAATTGGATATTATTTACGCGGTATAAATTTATTACTTATGCTTTGATTATTATTATTTTTTTTTTTACAACCGGTTGTTTACTTATTTAGTTATTTACAATCCAGCAGTTGGATCTTAAAAAAAGGATGTTTACCGAGCTGTGAATGACAGGGCAGGCATGTTGCTTGCAAAGTCAGCCTACGCGGAATTTAACTCCGACGAAAACTGGAACCGAATTCTAATTCCAGTACTGCCCGATTAAATTAAAATTAATTGATAATAATTTCTTTCTTTTTCCGTTGAATATTAATAAGAATTTCCCAACACCATTTCCACGATAAACACACTCTTGGTGTTGATTAATAAGATGATTAGCACATAATTAGTGTGTAAGCAGCAATTAATTAGGATGATTACTTGGGGATTTATATTCAAGCGTGTGAAATTAAGGATGAATCATACTAGAATAACTAGTAAAATACGGTATGAGTATATTACGGTATTAATTTTGAAATAATGATGCGTTTAAAAATTCAGCATCAAATATAAAATATTACAAGTTTATGATCGAATATAAATAAATAAAAATTAAATTTTCAATACAATTGCTAAAAATATGTGTATTAAACGCGTTGTAAGTGTTTAGTACGGAAAGCATCAAACATCTAGAGAAAATGAGACGCTATACAGTAATTGAGGGAGGGAAATTTTAAACAAATTTACTACGCATACGGGCATTATACAGATTTTCGCCTAACTATCTAAGATAGACAAAGTCATGGGAATTGTTTGAGCCTAACTGGGTGTAGGAGTGAGACTCGGGAAGATGGGTCAAGGAGAGCAAGCAAAGGGAGAATAACCGTTGATGGAAGAACTGGGGAAATTACGATTAGAGTTGAGAGGGAAAATCTTTAGAGAGAGAAGTTGATGATTTTAGAGATAGAACCAGAAAAATCTCATCCCCTCACCCACCGGAGTAAATGCCATATTTATAGGCTACATGGTGGTTGGTGAGTGGTTGAGTTACAAGTGGGTACATTGACATGTCAGGGATTTAAGCCATGCTTATACCTAGGACATGTCAGAGGCCTACCTATGACCGTGTTTAGGACCCTGATGTGACTACCTCTCGGGAAGCGAGACAACGCTTTCTGCGGCTCCTTGGTGTGGTCAACGCCTTGATCCTTCCACGTGCGCGTAGCCTGTGTCGCGCTCGAGATCTTTGCGCTAGTCTGCCTTCACAGTGTCGCGCTCGAGGCCTTCGCGCTGAACCGCGCTGGGGGCCTTCGGTCGCGTCGCGTCCTGCAGGGTTTGGCGGTATTTGGGGTAGTGTAGGTGCGTTCTTTTGGCGCGGCTAGGTCCGAGTCACATGCCCAACATGAATTAATTGTCGTTTGGATGAGGAATTCTAATGGGTCAATCTGACACAATTGTCTCGTTTTGATTCAATTGTGCTAAATTGATCCGTTTGGCAACAGAAAATTTGGATGAAGCAATTTGGGCTGGGGAATTCTGAATTGACTCATTTTGAGCCAATTACAATTGTCTGGGGTGGGGCAGGTAATCTGAATTGACTCTTTTTAAATGACTCGTTTTGTAAAATGAAACAATTGGTCAAATTATCTCGTTTTACAATTGATCCATCCAAACGACCCCTAAACCAAATTGTCACAGCTAGCAAAGTGATGAAGTAAATCTAGGAATTTTATGTTTTTTTTTTTTTTTTTTTTTACATTTTGGTTTTGAAGTTCCAACGTAAATGGTGGTTCGAAAAATGTAATAAACATGCATACGAGGACATTGATGAATGATGATGGTAGGCTGTCTGGTTTGGCTTTGAATTTTGATGAAATATGGTGAGGAGGAGTAATGATGGTTGATGAGAAAAGGAAAGAAGAGAAATAGTGGGTGCCTGGGTGGTATGTTCTTTTGTCCAGCCATTGTCAGGTCGGTCGATCCATTATTGGTGGTGTCAAACCACTAAACCTAATCAAGCATGGTTTTTTTTATTTTATTAAGTTGGATAATTACAAATTAATGAGGTTTCTCGGACTAGAGTTATGTCGATATACGATGTTCGACTGTGAACTTACTTAAATTTTTAATTTAATATTTGAAACTATAGATAAGCCGATCAGTCTCTTTCGATCGAATGACTTTTGGCTTCTTCATTCACCTTACTAACCTTGCTCAACGTAAGCATATGACAAACATATATAGTTAACCTAGCTATTTGCCTTTCCTGTTGACTTTAGGGAATTGCATGACATAAGCTGCTTAAACAAAAAAAAAAAAATCTAACCAATTTGGGAAATTACCAAATGGTGTCCAGACAATTATGTCCTGTTCACTTTCCATTTTGTTTTCTGTTTTTTGTTTAAAAAATGAAAATAAAAAAATAAATGACAAAAAACGTGTTCACCTATCATTTCGTTTTCATTGGAAAAAACCATTTCTTACAAATGAGAAAGCTTTGGGGAAACAATAAAAACTTGTTTTCCGAAAACAAGGGGACGGATTATCCCCTGTTTCTCAGCGGAAAAACAACACTATTCATTAATGAGATACTGAGTTCGATTCACCAAGGCCGCAATTTGTTTTACCTTTTCCTCCATGCTCCAAAACACGTCGTTTTGCCCCATCTTTTTCAATTTAACTCATCCTAACCCTAGAAACCTCTCCCTTGCTCGACCGACATCTCTCTCTCCCTTAAGCAGCTCCGCCACCTCCTTCCCCACCCAGACCACCACCCCATCATCTTTCTCTCCCTCGCCAGCCCCCGGCCGCCATCATCTGCCCAGACCACCACTCCATCATCTTCCTCTCATCCCCGCGACGCCATCATCTTTTCTCTCTCGCCAGCCCCGCGCCGCCATTATCAATCGGAAGCTCCAGCCGAATCTTCCGTTTGCCAGAGAAGCAGTGAATCTCCCCTCCGCCATGAGCTATCAGACTACAAGAAAGGGTGAACATGGAAGCTCAACGGATAAGGAATGTCATCTTTGTCCCACTTGGCCTTCTCATTGTGATTGTCGCTGCTGTCATGACTCATCATTGCAATGCTGTTAAGGAGAGCTGGTAATGAAGATGAGGAGCGGAGAGCTGGCGATCAAACATCATTGGAAGACATCAAAACCATAATAAGAATAATGAATAATAACAACTTTGGTAATTTGCATTCCCGCTAATGGTCCTTGGTTGATGTACGATGAATTGATGATTGATCCTTGGTTGGACACTAACACAAACTTGTAACACTTTAAAGGGATCCCTTCGCCATATTGATTTGGACATTTGGGTACATCTCCTTTGCCCACCAGTCAATTAAATCGTTACATCAAGGACTAATTAATAGAATTAAAAATTATAATTATGATTAGGGGTGTATGATACTCAATGAACAAATTGTGGTAATCAATTACCAGAAAACAGTATGAAGTAACTAAACAGGTTTTCGTTTTCAGAATTCAGTTTCAGAACTCACCAAAATTTTCAGCTAAACAAGGTTTTTTCAGGTTTTGTTTCTCAGAAAATGACAGCTTCGTTTTCATTTTAATTTTGTTTTCTGTTGTGGCAGCTAACGAAAATGAAATGGCAAGTAAACGGGCCATTAAGTGTCTAAATTAAAAGGTCTCACCCTCCATGTAAGAGGAGGGAAATGTCCCTTGAAATAGGTTTTTGCACCGACCAACGATGTAGAATTCAATAAACTGCTCCTCAAGAAAACTCGCAATGAATGATTCTTCATAGAGTATCGAAAGCTTTGATTAGTTGAAAGAAGTAACTACTCTTTCGTAAAGGTGAGAAAAGTCACAACGGTTGTATAGATATATCATTAGTTACTTACATTGAAATGTCTGGGTAGTTCATGTGACGATGTGTGTTCTAAGTCTAACACATGACTATATATGGCGTTAGAACTTTATATGGCGTAGATGGTTTTAGAACCAATCAAATCTTGCTAGCATATAGCTAGCTAGCAATACCATTTCCATTGGCCAAAATTGGGAAATCACAATTCTTCCTTTCTTTGTTGTGTTCCTGAGAATGATTGAACTTTTGGGGCAATATGATGAAGTTATGGGTCTTCCCAGCCAAAATTTTAGAATAGAATTGAAGAGAAAAAGGGTTTGCTTGTAAACTAGGGTTTCCTTATAGACCCTTTTGAGTTTTGACCCCACCAAATGGATTGGAGAGGACGTCGATGTTTGTTTGGTCCAATAACCCACACTTTCCAGCTGCTCCATGGTGCCTATGGCCCTCAAATCATTGTCTCGAGCTTCAAGTTGGAAGACAAAAACAAAGCTAATTAAAAGCTAAGCGGCAAGTGGACCAATGGGAAGATGGTATGGAAGTGTAATCATCATTCTAACCACTCATAAATTATTGTATTCTAGTTGATGTTTTTTAACTGATGAGATGTACAAAAATGTGTTGAATATAAGTCACCCTACTTCACCCACGAAGGTATAACTCGATAATGAAGTGTCAAGGACTTGCATGATGAGGAGGAGGCACAAGAAGGAGATATTAGTGTTCGAATTCAGGATCGGTAGGTCATAACTATACGATTGAGTATGTGAATAATAAGAATTTGGGGTTGTTGGAAACTATCTTTCAAGAATGAGTCGGTTTGATGTTGTGCACATGTTTCAACAAATTTTTTTTTTTTGACAATTTGTATAGATGAGATACCTCAATGATCAGGTGAGAAAATGAATTCTTGAATTACAACAACTAGAATTTGTAATCTTCGAAAAAGAAGTCCAAATTTATCAATTACATTAATATCTACCTTCATTGTGCATGTGTTTGTGATTGATGACTAAATAATCAACGACATGATTTGATTTCTGTAGTTACAAATAACCTTTGCCTCGTCGAGTTCGCCCATCGATAATGTACAGTTTCCTCGGATTTGTTTAACCGTATTTTATAAACGCCATTATTCTTTAATTATGCACAAACGTTCTATGTGACTCATTCTTGAAGACACTTTCCTTGCAAATTGATATCCCAAAATGATATTTTGCCAAAGATGCTTGCACTATTGGCAGATATTTTTTTTTTTGGAACGGTCCGGTAAAAACTAAAAACGTCACTCTCGCCTGCAGGTTTCCAAGCAAATCAAACCCCACCGGATTAATTGGTAATTCGATTGTAATAATTATATTATATTTAAGTGGGATTAATCTGATAAAATCCCTTTAATAAAATTTAAACGTACATCTCATTTGTAACAAGAACAATAATGACAGGGAATATTTTTGATATTAGATGCATGATAATATGATATGATGAAAGTGACCTCAGTATTAGCAAGCCTATGTGGACTCATTTTTTATTTATTTATATGCATTTATTTGTAGAGAATTCGAAATTCAACAATAAGTTGAAATGGATTACTCTCTTGGCACATAATGAAAACGAGTGAAGACTTCTACTAGAAACTGAAGTAGTGGTTTTGCAACAGAGGACGTGGTCCTGCTCTCTAGTCCATTCTCCTATCCAATTCATAACTCAATTATAGAGTGTCATCGTAAACCAAATCAGTAAAATTAGTAACGTGAGAACATCCAGGGGCGGAGCTACGTTGGTGTTTGGGAGGCCCCGCCCCCCGAGAATTTTGAAAATCGCGTATAAGTACAACGATAGTTTTGAAATTACGTATTAATTAAGTTATTTGTATAGATTCCGCTATTGTGCGATAAATTGAAGTATGTTTCCATTTAGTCTAGCAGAAAAGTGGCTGTTTTTTTAAATCAGTGGACGTGGGTTCAATACAACACAGCATCACATTTTAATGTTTTTGGGCTTTTGGCCTTACACTTTTTTTTTTGTTTGCGGATGTCTTAAGTAGATCAAATTCATCAACTTCTGCATTATAGCTTCAAATGTAATTTTGGATTTTGTCTTGTTATAATAACATTGAGGAAAATGGTACAAATAAAAAAATAATAGATTATTTTTTGTTGACAATTTAATTAAAAATGTTTAACATATCGTTGCCCAATTGTTAATTCAAATAATAGTTTTAGTGCTAATAATTTGTAATGTAACATTTATATTATTCTTTTAATTTTACGATAATACGCACTAAAAAAATTCGGTCCCCCGAACTTTAAATCCTAGCTCCGCCTCTGAGAACATCCATCATACTCTGTGTTTGAATTATGAGGATAACAACTAACAAAAAAAAAATGAAGAAGTCAGACTAAACATCTTTAAATCAGGGTTTGTAATGTAACATTATTCGTTTTATTTTACGATAATACGTACTAAAAAAAAATCGACCCCCCGAACTTTAAATCCTAGCTCCGCCCCGAGAACATCCATCATACTCTCTGTTCCAATTATGAGGATAACAACTAACCAAAAAAAATAAAAAAAGTAGAAGTCAGACTAAACATCTTTAAATCAGGGGTTGATAAATGGTAGAAAACAGTTTGTCACAACAAAAACTCAAAATGTTTCATTTGGAGTTTCTGAAGAAGAAAAAAATAGTAATGAAAATAAAACGTAATCCTTATTTGTTCCCGATCACATAATTTTATTTCATTTACATTATTATATAATTAATACATAACGGCAAACAACATTCATTAATATAAAAGAAATACAATATCTATTTCGAATTTCATTTTTTATCATCCATTTTAGTTATTTTGCAACAATTCTTGCATCAAATGAATACTTTCGATAATTTACCAACCAAATACTCAACATACTTTTTCAAACAACATTTCTCTAAAAAGTTCCGCACCAAATATGTGTTTGTTAACATGGTCGCAGGGCCGGCCTACCCAAAATGTCAAACAAGAATATAAATTATCATGCATATGATAAACCTAAATGAAACTCTTCCGCCTACAAAACTCGCATAAGAAGAGCAAACTGCTGCATCCCAGACATTACGTGTGAATATCAACATATTAAATCGGTTGAATCACAACACCGATGTCGATCCATAGAATCACCCTGCCTAGACCTCGCCTCACCTCTTGGTTTCAAATACTGAAATAATAAATAATTCAAAATTTTTTTAACTCTTATTGAACAAGAAATTGACAGGCACAGCTTGTCAGGGAAACCGTATGGAAGAGAATGATCGAAGGCGTGATTAGATCACTCTCCTTAGAGTGTTTATTTGCCCCTACTACTTTGTTGCTGGTAGGATTTAGGCAAACCACCCCCAGGAGTACCTCCAATCAAAGTCAGAAAGCAGCACCTTTCTTGACTTCTGTGTTTGTGTTTTTGAAGAAGGAAAACGAGGAGAAGAAGAAGAACGTTGGAACAGAAATTCGGCTGCAGAAGACTTTTATAGTGAAAACGGCAGTTCCCTTCCGAAGGGTTACGTCCGGTAATTAATTAATTAATTAAAATAATTCCGGTAATTAATTAGCCAAAAATTCAAATCCGAACGCGTCGCGCAAACGTGCTAAATGTGTAGTGCGATTTAATATGTCCAATTAAATAGCCCACACTTTTTCCAAAAGCCCACTAACCACTTTATCCAATAACTAAAGTGGAAAACAAACTTAAAAACAACTTGCACTTTATTTCTCCCACCAATGTGGTATTTCCTTTACTCTTTGACTATTCTAACACAGCTCATATAAAGTTAAAAGAGTAAAATGAAACGATCAACTCAAAAATCATGAAAGGTACAGAAAGAAGGCGACCATCTACCAATATTATACCCTTTAATTTTCAGTTTGATCTTTTTGACTCAAGACGGCGAGACCATTTCATTACCATCTTAATTACACTACAATCACAGTCACGGATATGATATTAGAGCCATTTTCATTTATCAAATCAGCTCGCTACTGCCTAACCTACGGTCAAAGAATCGATCTTTACTGTATTTCATCATTAAAAGATAGTATTTTTCTGACCATCAGTGGTATATAAAGACGACTTGACCAACTTTCCTGACAATAATTGCCGTCACGAAACCGCACTTCTGTAAAACTCAGAGCCAGAGCAGAGTGTGTGAATAAACAGAGCATTTTCTTCTATTTTTTTTCCCCGACATGGGTCTCTGTATTTCCTCACACCCCAAAAGATCCGACCAGTTTCCGGCGACGGTGAAGGTGGTCAGCGCCCACGGCAAGCTGCAGGAGTTCACGCACCCGATCCGCGCCGGGAGAGTGGCGTCTCTGTCGCCGGCGGCGGCGGGGGGATGTTTCGTCTGCAGCTCGGAGTCGATGTCGATCGGGAGATTGGTTCCGCAGTTGGATGACGAGGAAGAGCTGCAGCTTGGGCAGCTTTACTTCCTGTTGCCGGTCTGCTTCGCTCGCAATCCGTTGTCCATTTCCGATCTGTGTGGTCTCGCCGTGAAGGCAAGCGCCGCTTGGAAAATTGCCTGATTGGACCCTTCTCTCTCTCTCTCGGTGCTCTGTTTTGCTTTCCCCTGTCTGTTGCTCTGGATGTAGACATGGAGTTCGTCATTGGGATTTTGGTTTTTGGGGTTTATTAGTTGGAAATATTTAGTGACTAACTGATTGTGATTCTGGAATGTTTTTTTTTTTTTTTTATGTATTATCATTATTGCAATTAATGGAGCAAATCTGACTTTTGGTCCGGACCATACCAAACTGAATATATTAGGTTCAGAAAACTATGACGATGATCATTGTTCGTAAAATGTATTCCACTATCGGGCCGCGATTTTCATGAGTTTGACTCGTTCCAGACCAAACTTTTGCGGGCACCTACTTTTGGTACTAAGTTAAGAATCAATCCGATCCAAAGCCCAATAGCTAAAGTTGTTAAGAGAAACTAAAAGGTAAATTTCATGCTAACACTCTAACATGCTTTCTCAAACGAAAAATCTTATCATGAACCTCAAAACTTCTTGCCAAGTCCACCATGATGTGATTGAGTACGCGTCAACCTTCAACACTATAAAGATTCGAGCTCGAAGTTAGTTTGGTCGTTAAAACCTCTAACATCGTGTGACGAATGAATTCAGCACAAATGGATAACAGAGATAGGTGGTCAATGAAGCAGAGAGCATAGATCGTAGGTGATCCTCTTGACCTCAGAGAATTGGAGAAGATCCTGCTGCCTTACATCATCATATAATTACAATATATGCATATCCTAACAACTTATGTTTGACAGTTGCAGCAGCAAATCAATATGTTTCATGATTTCATCATTAGTAGCCGTATGGGCATGTCCCTCAAATTTAGGCACATTTGAGGTCAGCACCTAGCTGCTGCTCCAAACTTGCCTACGGTAGAATAGTAAACCGATAATGGGTAATGTGTTATATGCCTTTTAATCTCCAAGTTTCGACCTTTGTTGACGGTATTTGGATGTAAATTTTGGTAGAAAGATGTTTGATAATTTTTCTAAAGTGTACGGGATATTATCTTATATTGCAGAGTACTAAACAGTGAGCCACTGGCCACTAATCAAAGAGATCGGGCCGGAGAAATCAGAATATGATATACATGTAGCGAGGAAAGGATGTAGCACACTTGTCCAAGACTGCAACTTTACTTTGTTGTTCTTTTATGCGTGTGTATTTGGAAAGCAAGGTGGTTGATTCTGCTAAAATTACTTTGGTCCTCTAGTTTTTGCAGGTGAACTTGATTGGTACTTCTGGACTTGCTGGATCTTATGTTGAACCAAGTTGCTGCTCTTTGGAAACTTTACATTTGCAGTTGCAATGAATCACACATTCATGGTGAGATACCAGTAAACCTGAAGGAGACATGATACAAGGAAACTATTCATCTTGCCATTCAGTTACACTGATAAAACAATGGTATTTGCTCTGAGAAAGCTGCAGAATTGATGTACAAATAGCCAATGCACACATTTCCATTTCATTTTCATCAATCTTGATACCATCATCACAGAAACCTATTAGCCTTTCTCCTGAGATGACACGGCACACCAGAGGCAGACTGCCCAATTACAATGTACCATTACCAGGCACGAAAAACAGATTGGCGTTGGGTTAAGAATCTCTACTCTCCTAACATGGAAAATGCTTTCACTGACATCTCACCTTCCTACTTTACCCCTTTTTTACAAAATGATGAACACACCCTTCCCTATAGAATTGATTCTAAACATATATATATCAAACTCAACTCAATACCAACAAAGTGTGTATATGGCAATGTCATCTAGCCAGCTCTTTCGAGATCAGGTACCGGAAACTGAAGTTATGTGGCATCCATTCGATGATCTTGCGAGGCTTTCCTAGCTGGCATTTCCTGACACATTTTCTCAGAGAATCGGGCAGAGACCCTTGGATCATTTCGACTACAGCGGGTTGACTTAGACCCGAGTCCTTTGCAAAAGTTTCGACGATCTTTGGGAGTAGGATCCTTTGGTCCTTTCGTACCCCAAATGTGGCTCGAATGTACTCGTCTTTCGCTGCTTCCAGCTCTTGATATACCGCCTTTGGCGTGTAGGCACGTACCTGAATCAAGTGACCAGAACGAACATCAAGATTTCGTTTCCTGGGACGAACTCAAGTCTCAAACAGCATGTTGAAAGTTTGGTTGTTCGAGGGAATGGCTTACCGCGGGGTCAGAATGGCTACCCGAGCTGAGTGCAAAATGCAACAGGGGTTCTGGGTGATCAATTGTGTAGCTTTGCCTTTCATCTCCCGACTTGAATTTGGATCTAGAAGGGATCAGTAACCTAATCCACTGTGATTATAAGGAGAGAAAAAAACAGTAAATTTTTTTAGCTTCACAAGACGAATGAGATCAAGTTTGCGATATCAAAACAATTGAGAGGAAAATGGTCTCATTCTCAAATGTACCTGGCCAGGACGAGACATCCGGCATTGAAGGATGTTGCTCTGAATCGCGTCTGCACTGATTGTATGACCGCCAACATTATAAGCAGCCTGAAGTGAGCAAAGGAGTAAGAGCCAATACAACATAACCTCATTGAAGTTTTTTTTTTTCAGTTGAGAAAGGGGACATGGGTATTTACCTTTAACAGAAGGAAGAGTCTCTTGACATTGTTCTGTGGAATACCATATGCAAGAAACGCCTAATGGCCGGGGAAAAAACCAGTAAGGTCAACTGCTTAAAAAAGATCCACTGCATCCTATCCAGGAGTAGAAACTCAAAAAAGCAGTGTAAGGAGATAAAATTTTACATGCATCACTAGAGAATTATGAACATTGATCCAGAAAGCTAGCTTCTCTTCATGTTTCAGCTTCCTTGGGTCAACTCCCTCCAATCTACAAATCAATGATCTACAGAAAATAGTTCATCAAGGTTAGAAAGAGATCACATGACAACACAAGGTTCAAATTTTTTGGCATTATCTTTACCTGAAATTCTGCAGCAAGGACTCGACATCTCCCAACTTCTGATTATCCCTATAAATCCAGGGGACTTCGACCATCGTACTGTATGGTCCACTGAACTCCTTTAGTCCCTCAACAAGGAACGGGTTCTCTAGCCGTATGTCGAAGGATGAAGAATTGTTCCTGAACCCAGGACTCCACATATCACATTGTTCTTGTGGAGAAAATGCACTCATTGAGGACATCGATGATACTGGAGAAGACAAGCCGTTATTTGTCACTGGTGGGTCCGAAAGCTTGCAGTATATGGCAGACATGCAACGAATCATATCCTCAGAAAGCTTGTTAGGTGTGTCATGCACATGATCAGAGATTCTTGTCCCAAGGTGTTCCGCCAAACTGATCATATTCGTTGCATTTTGCGCGTACTACATCACAGGACAGCAGGGAATTAGATTTTACACTAGGGCCAATCGAGTAGTTAGGTAAAAGGATGGAAATGAAGCTAGCTACCTCCATCATGGACAAAGGCTGCGAATGACAAGCACGGACAGCTCTTCCCAAAGATGAATCTGCTTCTGGAGGAGAAAGTCTTGCAGGAAATGCTGAGCATTGTGAGAGAGAGGATTGAGAGCGTTGGATGCTGGAGTCTAATAATAGTTTTTCCTTTGATGGGTTGTCCTGTGATTGAAGCGTTAAATTGTCTCTCGTTGACATGACATTGGGTCTCGGGGGAACATTCTGCAATCTGAGCCTTGGAGTAGTAACAGCTGATTTGGAGCCTTCTTCCTTGCTGGATGGAGAGACTGAAGATGTTTGCTGATCAAATGCTTTCCTGTACAATGAGAGGAGGTACTGTTCCAAATACACAACTTCGAGCTCTAGCACTGCTATTTCCTTGATAAGTTCTGTGGCTGGCTGGAATTACAGAGAGCACAACACAAAGTAAAAAAATTTGTTAAGACCAACTTTGCCATGGAAGTATGTCTAGAACCAGTAAAAGGAATCTGAGGTTTCACCTTCGGCATTAAGTCTTCAGGTATCTCCCCAAGGGAGGAGGTCCGGTAACCCAATGCCTTCTCCAGAGCACGACGAACCTCGAATTGGTCTTGCAATCTTTTCTCAAGCTGCAGAATCTGCAACAAACCATAGTTAACGAATAAGTTGAACCAGAGGCTTCAACTAGTTTCAGGAAAATGAAGGTTTGAGTCAACGACCTCTTGCTTCAAAGAACTATGGGCTTCAACTTTTTGGGATTGTTTTCTCTGGCTTTTGATAGACTCCTGTAGGTATCCCATATCCTGTGCATTAAACATCACACAATTACATCAATCACACATAAAACAAGATTCTGTAGTTGTACACATTCTGAACCAGTGCCAAGAGGGGCAACTAGATGCCCTCTTTCAGCAAACAAGAAACAGAATCTGCAGATTGTAGTGCACATAGGGAAAATAAAGTCTCAAATAGAACATAATCAAGAATCAATCTAAATAATGCCTTGCTTTGTTTGCCAGCCCCTCATAAAACATGGGGTTAAATTAGCTGGCACAAGCAAAACCCTCAACAACATTACTAATGCCAAGATTAAAAGAAAGCTGTTCCCTTTGACTCTCCAAAAAGGAAAACCCTTACAAGCTTGCTACGTTGTGAAGCTCCAAGCGAACTATCTGGTCCATCCTCTTTCAATCCTTTCTTGTCAGGGAAGCTGCTACAAGTGAAACACCAAAAAAACAGTAGAACCATAATTATTTCTTGTCACAACAATCTGACTTCTCCAGCAAATTACGCACCAGAAGAAAAAGAGGAGGAAGAAGAAGAAGTCTAAATTTCAAAGCTACCTTCTACCAGAGGTCCATCTAGCAAACAATTTCCTAAAACCCATCTTCCTAAAACTGTTCTCATTTGCTACCCACGACCAACGGTAGCTCATTGATATTACAGAAAATATATATCAGAGAGAAGGCCTTGTTGGAAGATGAAAAGAAGCCCACCACTTTCACTGGAGGGGAGTGTTCGTATGTTGTTATCAAAATTCCATAAAAGAACTAAGGAAAACCTTGCCCCAGTTTGCTATAATGGCTAAAATACCTCCAAAAGCTCGGACCACAAGCACTACAGCCAAAAAAACATATTGTAGCCATCATGGTACCAGATTATTCACCTTGTTCTCACTCACACGCCAAAAACCCCATGATTCGTTCGGCAGTATATGCATAAGCATCTAAAATGCTTCCAAACAAGTCTACCTCAGAAATCCCTCTCACCAACTAAAAGGAGTAAGCAAAAGAAACTGGGAAAACTAGCTCTAGCTTACCTCTTTGAACGCTTGTGACCACAATCAACCACTCTCCCTCCCGCCATTTCCCCCCCTTTGCCGCCTTCTTCGAAACCCATCTGCCCAGAATCCAAATCCCCACCAAAATTTGATACAGCTAACAGAAAAACGTTGCATTTATGAGGGGAGAGAGAGAGAGAGAGCTGAGGGGAAAACCAGTATGAAAGTTACCACTTACCATTCCACTTCCAAAGCTCGGGTCTTTTCCCCAGAGAGACAACGACCCAGATTGTGTGTGGACAGCTGATAATGTCAAACACGCCAAATGGGTTTCACGGGTAAGGCTTAATTAAAGGGTCCGAAACCTTGGGTACTAGTTTTCAATGGCTACCCAGAGTGAGACTGGAAGAAGCAATGAGTTAGGAAAAGAGGGGAAAGAAAAAGGGCCCGTCTTTCAGCTGCCACCAAAATTTGTTTTCCACAAACAAAGTAAACAAAAGATTGAGGCTTTTGACCAGGGGAAAGATGGAATATAAAGGGGGAAAAACTATACTCTTCTTCTTTACAGATAAACCAGCTTTTCCCTCGTCTTCTCCCCTCTGTTTTTTGCTTGGCATCAAACCATGAAGAACGAGTTTAGGAGTGGCCTCGTGTGCCCTTTTAATTGCCAAGGCTTTGCCCTTTTGCTTTGTTTGGAGAGACGTAAGAGCGTAGACCCTCTAAAAGGTCAAAATGTACACGAAAGAAAGAAAAGGTGAAAAGAGGGGAAAGTTGGAAAAGTGACGACCTAGTACCTACAGGAAGCTAAATAGTAGTAGTGGCTATAACAATGGCTATAACAATAATCCAAACGTAGTGAAAGGAAGAAAGAAAAAGAGAAATAAATCTGAGTTTTGCAATTAAGTCCAAAGAAGGTCTAAACCCAAGTTTCCATATTAATTTCCTTTCATTTTTTTCAGAGTGTTGGCAGGCAAGTGGGGGGGAGTTGGTCACCTTCTCCCTCAACTCTTTGCTCCCATCTTCTTTCTCATACAAAGCATGGCAAATGGCAGCATCTATGGATAATGGGCACCATTTTCATGTAGAAAAATTGTTTTGTACACCTCAAAGTTGCAAACTTCTTTATTTAGGGTTGATCATTAAATGTCTTGTATTGAAGACTAATAATTGGGCAAATCCAAAATCAAGAACTAGTTAGTTGTTATTTTTAACCGAGAAGTAGTTAGTTTCACTATCATACAAAAATTTTGGATGAGAAATAAGGGTGGTGAAATACATTGATATTTGTATTATTATTGAATGATTGTATAACCAAAATCGATTTTTATACTTTACTCAGTCTTTTTTTATGAGTGTTGAGCACATCAATCTCATATTAAAATGTGATGGGGCATGAGCCATCCAACCATGTACATGACCAAATGTCTAATGTCGGATCAAGAATAGAAATAACATGGGTACCCAACGGAAGGGACAAACCCTTGTTAGCTAGGCAATTAGCTAAACAGTTGCCTTAACGATAAATATGGATGATATGGACTTGCCAAACACGCTCCAACAGAAAATGAAATTGGAGTACGAGGGACATGTTGCAGTGAATTGGTTCATCCTATATTCTGAATGAGGGCCACCATAGCAGAAAGAGTCAAGTTGCGCTACCACCTTGGGATGATCGAGGTGCCAAACCATCTCAAATCTATCTAGTCGTATGTTTTAGCTTGATTGAATCTTTTAAGACAAAAGAAATAAATGAATTGAAACAATATACGATCAAGTTGAATCAATTTGATATGTTTTGGTATCCAATCCGACCATATACCAACTTCTACCTCAAACCTATTAATCATCTATTCATCCTGATGTAGAATGATCCGCCTTGCGAGTAAATGAGAAAGGGTATCCCCTCTAACCCAAGGTCAACAAATTGTGGACCTTAATAATAATGAGCTATATGATGGAAACCCATGAAAACAACACCATAATTAAGAGCTTGAACTTTTCCCTCCCCACCTTCAACTCCATTAGTTTTTCTTCCTTTTCCCCTCAAGCAAGGAAAAAGTATGGTGAATGTGAATGCTTCCAAACACAACGGGATTAAGTTATAGCACGGATCAAGGCCAAAAAAAGTGCAAAAGGGAATGAAAAGAAGGAAGAGGAAAAAGGATAAATGTCCAAATGGTAACTTGCTGAAAGGGGATCTTCAGAAAAAAGAAGAACACAATAAGCCTTAAGAAAAAGGCCTAAGATTTAAAGATTCAACCTCAAAAGGGATGAAAGGAGATAACTGTTAAGACATTGGATGCTAGTAGTAGTAACAACAAAAGAAGGAAAAACAGGGGAGGAGGTGTGTTTTTTTCTCTCTTTTGTCTTGATGGTCGTCTCTTTCACTTTTCTTCTTTATGTTTTGGTGGGAAAACATAATTTTGTGGGGCTATGGCTAATAGAAAAGGGCATAAGAAGATACCTAATCTTTGTCTTAAGGTGTCCAGGAAACTAACCCTTGTCACAGAATCGTCTCTTAGTTGTTTTCAATGGTCTTGACCTTTGACATTACGCCAATATATAACTACATCAAAAGGAAAAGGAAAGGTGACTGAAATATGCAGTTTCTGCTGCTTTGTATATGGTATATATATATGTTGGTATTGCTGTTGTTGGTGTTAGAGAGCGGTATAAGATCTAGCATAACCTTCTCCCAACAACTCGAGTTATTGGGATCAATTGGTTCTTGACATGATATCAGAGCTGGTTTGACCAAGTGGTCGTGTGTTTGAATTTCCACGAGTCCCAATATTAAAAGTTGTCTTCAAGCACATGGTATGGCGGGCCTGTGCAAACTTTAAGCCCATGGATTGGCTTTCGTTTGAGGGGGCGTGTTAGAGAGCGGTATAAGATCCAGCATAACCTTCTCCCAACAACTCGAGTTATTGGGATCAATTGGTTCTTGACAGTTGGTAGGTCTATTTGTCACCTGATACTTGCTACTGAGTATAAGAGAGAGAGGGGGGAACATGAACTACCTAATAGTTTGTTCGTGACTTGCTCCACCATGGTTATAAAATATAAACACGGAGAAGGGTCGTCAAATTCAAACGGGAGAGCACCATGTCTCTGTATATTTTCCTCCAAACCCACATATATAATTGTGAAACTCTCAAATAAGGATCTTCATAGAATTAGGAATAATGATAGTCATATGATATTTGTATTCATGGGGATAAGTTAAGTTAGCTTAAAAGCTATAAGCATTATAAAAAAAACCCTAGTTTGAATTTTGTTCAAAAATATTTTAGCTATGTTCGAAAATTGATGTCCAATGAAGTTGCAGACTAATTAATTCCTATCAACACAACAACAACAAAAAATCAAATGAGTAGATACCTTTACGGTGCGGAAATGTACAAAATGAGTTGGATGGATTAGGCAGTTTGATTTTTGATTTAAACGAGTGTTGTGTCACTTTATTAGAAAATTTGTTTCACTTTGTGAATAACAGTTTAGATGACGTAACATGCCGAGAAGACAGTTTGAATGAGAATGAATGGTAATGGGCAAGATGTCTTTTGTTGGTAGCAACATGATACGACATACGAGGTACTAATTTGTTGGGAAATCAAAGATAAGCAACTATTTTGTTAATAACCCAAAACATAAATGACTGCCTCTATCATTAACCCGTTGAAAATTTGATATGCAGAGTTCAATAAATTATATTAAAAAGGGTCCAAAGTTTGAGAGATCCCACCTAGAACTACAAAAACAAAAGGTTCCCCACTTCGATGTAAATACTAGTTAATTTTTCACATTCACCAACCGTTCTTAATTAATTAGAGATGGTTATACAAATTTTCTGAACACTGAAATTCTCAGAAAACTAACTGGGAAAGACAATTTGATGGGTCTGCCATCTGGTATGATTTTTATTTTAGTGTCCTAATCATCTTTTTTTTTTATAATGGTCCTTACCATCTTCTTATGGCCAAAAAATTTGTTAACAGACAGGCCATAGAGTCGCTTGATTTTCGGTTCGGGTGTTTAATACATGAGAAATGTGTTATCGAGGAGGTATAAAATTGTCATGCTAAAATGATTCTAACCTCAAGTCACTAAATTGTTGTCTTACAAACAAGTCTTATTGTTAGGCTAGAATATCTTTCACTGTACTTATGAGTTTATAATGGACCATGGATAATACTAGATACCAAGTTGCACTTTTATGTTGAAAACTGGATCGAGGAGAAGCAAAAACACCGGAGCTTTTTTAAACATACCTCGTTATTCGTTTTTTAGGTAACTGTTAGAGCCCTGACTCGACCTATAGGGACAAACAATTTCTCATTTTTACCCTTATCGTGTTACTTGTGTTAATAATTTTCAGTGAATTTCGCAAAATGAGTGATAAGAATCATGACCACCTATATAAGAACGTAGTAATAAATACTGTCCGGACTTAAATGGTTAAACCTCAAATATAGTCCATCAATCCATGGAAATTGGTGAACCACACTACTAGTCCCAGTTAACTATTGTCTTGTGGAGTTGATGATGAATGATTATACATTGAAAGTGTTTATAGTGCTAATAGATACAGTAATCAATGGAACTTCCACTTTATCTTATTAGCCAAATGAGTGTTTAATTTGTTTTTTGTTGGCACAAAGTCAGTCAGATTCGACAGGGTGCCAACTGGCTTCAGAAAAGACAGATCCCACAGACTAAATATATATGGGTTTATTGCACCTCCAAATTTTCTATCCAGTTTATCTGACAGACATGCATGCTTGACCTAATATATGTAGTAGATCAGCATCAGATGAAGGAAACAGTTGAGCTGTAGTTGTTAATCTAACTAATTTCTTGGATTACTTAAATTGAGGAAGTTGTTGGGTCATTTTCATTACAATAATCATTTTGTCATTAAGGTGTCTTGTCACATAATTAGTCAAAACGTATAGTTGTCTGAGTTTCATCTTTTATAGAACATTTTATTTCAGTCACCGACTCACCTACATAATCTTTCGGATATTTATAAGTGGTTTCATTAGTGAACCTTGTATGTCAAATTAAAGCTAAAATTCATCATGCTTTGAAAAGGACTGGTGTAGGTATATTATACACTTTTGATTAACTCAACTTGTTAGTAACAGGGGTTAATGGGTCATTGTGGATATGGTAACTATTTTGTCACCGAGGTGTCTTGTCGAGTAACTAGTTGAAACATTTTTAGTTGTCTGGGTTTCATCTTTGTAGAACATTTATTATTCGAGTCACCTGTATAATCCGTTGATGAGAATCCGCGATCATCCTTTTTAGTATTCGTTTTTGATCGGTGTTGCGACTACATGAAATTGTTGGAAGTGAATAATGGTTTCATGAGTGAACCATATCGAAAACCAGTTCAAACCAATAACTACAATGATCCAAATAACCATTCAAATCAATAAAAAAAAAATTCAAATCAGCATGGAATTTTCCACCATCATTCGAACAAAAACTCAAATCCCCGTTGACTTCTCGAGGGCCGCCACGAGAAAACCAAAAGGAAGGCCGCTGCCGGTACGTTGCCGCAGCAGTCTCAGTTATCAAGGAATCAATCGAAAAACCAAACCTCCAGCACATGAAACACCAGTTCCCTATGTTGTTTTTTTGTTTTGTTACTATTTTAAAACACAGTGTGTGGAATTCGAAGTACAGAATCATGTCTTAATTATTATCCTCGTGATGATCATCGTAAAGGGTTCTTCTTCTTCTTCTTTTTCTTTTTTCCACCTTGAAAAAGGATGGTAAGATAAGAAATTAGAGAACCAGCTAGGAAAGAATGCAGTGTCTTTTTCACTTGCATGATAGTAATGTAACCATGGAGTGGTTTCTGCAATTTCCATGATTTCTTAGGCTAGAAAATGACAACTCTCTCATTACCCATACACATCATTGCTTTGAAAGGAGGATCTACGTTCTTTGCAGTCTGTTCACCTTCAAGTGTCATTCAACAAACTGCATGAGTTATTCATATCAACAAAATAGGTTGTAATTCGGGTGTTTAGAGCATTGGACTCACTTGAAAAAAGGTGTTAGATCTGATGAATCCATCTTTCCGTTGTAATTCAAGTGTCAAAAGTATGGGATTTGCTTAGCAAAAAAAAAAAAAAAGTCTTGTGTTTGGATCCACCCTCCAACCACGACTCATGTTCCTTAGAACGTAGTACAGGGAAAAAAAACTCGAGTTATTCACGAGGCAAACAAATTCTCGATTTTGAGATAAAATAGTTTCTGACATGATATCATAGTTTTCAACGACCTGAAATTGTCACATCTGGATGTTTGTAAATTGTATAAGATTTATGATTGAACATCTCTCAACATCTCGAGTCACTGAGACTAAACGACTCTTGACGTGGTATTAGAGGTTTCGATCACCGAGAGATCTCGTGTCCGAACCACAACCCCAAAGACTCATGGTTAAAGTTTCAAAACAACCAAACTGACCGCGTTGTTCTTGACCTGGCATCAGAGCTTTCGAAAACCGAGAGGTTTTGTGAGTGCTGATCACATGGTATTCAGAACTCGGTGCAAATTTCAACCTCATATTGAGTTGATATTCATTTGATATAGTGTCATAGTAAATGATATAAGACTCGTTAACGAACCAACCGATTCCCGGCTCTGAAATCCAGATATTCCAAATAATATTAACCGATTGATTTAATCTCACGACATTATATAATTTGTGTAAATATGGAATTTAATACATGTAAGTCTATTTTTTTCGGACAATATGTAACAGAACAATGCAAGAACAGAGCATCGAACTCCACATAATATAGTACCTAGCTTAGCTAGCCAAATCCAGCAAGTATAACTATGTCTCAGCAGGCCTCTCATTCCAAACTCAATACATCCCACCTTAACTATAGACTGATGGGTTCATGAGTGCACTTACAGAATGTACAGACAACAAATTGTGACCAAATGGCAAGAATCCAAAGGAAAAGAAGGAGCTCCATTATCAATTCCAGTGATTCCATACTTCCCCTGTTCCTAGATCTATCATCATCACATACAAATACAACAGTTCTCTATTTTTACACAATGGAGAGACACTCAGATTTGCCTCGAGTCGATCAACAGCATCCTATAAAAATATACAGAGGAAGCTACTAGCTAGCTAGCTAGAGAAGGTTTGTCGTCTGGTGGCAATAATATGCAGAAATTTGTGCATCAAACTTGGATTCTTTAGCGGTAGTGGAGGGCAATTGAGACAGAGTTGGTTTTCTTCTCCGATATAATATATGGGTTTCTCTGTTAATCACTTAATTGCCTTTTGGGTTGTGAAGAATCCCAGAGAAAGGAAGAAAGGGAAAGAAAAAGGTGGGAACTTTCCAAAGAGAATTGGACAATGCAGTCGATGCCAATCATAACCCAGCAAAAGCCAAAAAGCCAAAGAGGTATCTTCCTCTGGCTTTGCCCCAGCTTTAGCTTTTTCCCGTTCGCGGTCTCAATCATCACATACCAAACGTTGTATTCTACAATGCATCAGATTCGATAATACATGTATAATATTATACATGCATTCTCAACAATACATCTATTTAACAATCGCAACTTCCAAACGACCATTAGTTACCAAATTGGTGATTTAAACTAGTGGACAGACCGATTAGCTATTCTATAAGGTGCATTCTTCTTCAGTGACTTCTGTATTGATTTCGTTGATAAGAAGTTGTCAGGAAGATGGAAGTACGTGTAGACTGAGTAATGGGTAGTATATAATGAGATAACGACTTGCAGTTATCCTAGAATGATCAAAACTATAGTGTGATCGAGTCTCAACAAGTTCATTCGGAAATTCCTTTTTTTTTTCCAACTCTCCTAATTATCATTTATAATTTTCTTTAGACATATATTAGTTATCCGAGACGGCATTTCTGAAGAAAAAAAATTCTAGTAATGATTCACAAAGAAGTTCAGTGACTGTTTTGACATTATGCCAAAGTTGAGTGACCATTTTGCGTTTAACCCCTCTCATCCGTCCTTTTCCTTCCTTTTACTTCTTGGGCCTGTGTCATGAAATGGTCCAAAAAGAAAACATGGAGTGGGTTATTTAGCCGTGAGGTAAGGGGCGAGAGGGCCCAACCTATTTACTTCATTCAAATGTTCCATTCCTTCTTACCTCTGCTACACTACATACAAGTAAGTTTGAAGTTTCACAATCATTTTCCGATCACCTCCGGCCGTAAAATGTTGTTGGAGGGTCTACCCGGCCGGCCGACTGAGTAAGAAAATCGTTGAGGAGGGGAGAATACGAAGTTCGTTGTACTTGTATTTAGGGAATGATTATGATGAGACAATCTAAGTATCACATCGTATATACAAAGGCAACACATGGCCATTGTATATAAGTGTCCACCAAACTCCACTAGTACGAGGCTTTTGGGTATACCCATAGATAGTTCCGTGCGGGTTGGTCCAAAAAGGACAATATCGTATTAATAGAGGACTCGATCCAAGGTGCGACAAGTCTTTTTGGTTATTGATTACGGAGATTACTTTGTGAGAGAAATCTAATTTAATATGTTCAACTTTTGATTTGAGTCTTTTCCCCGATGGAAATGTCAACATTTTTTTTTTGCTTCTGCGTGCATGGAAATTTCTCTTTTTCCGTTGTTTTTTTTTTACCTCTAATGAGAGCTCGTCGCGGAATAAAGGGAGTCCGGATCTGGTGACTAAGGGGGGGTCCTTAGTCACTTGACTAAGCCCCCCTCAGCCATTGGATTGATCTGATGGTCCAGATAACTCAATTAATTATTATTAAATAAGAAGGGTAGTTTTGGTATTATCAATAATTTATTAACTCCTATTTTTTAGTTTTGTTTTATTTATTATTGAATTCTTTTTTCCTCTGCAACACGTCTCTTACTTTCCCTTTTTTGTGATGTAGAGAGAGAGAGAGCCATGGCGGAGGAAACAGGAGGCAACGCCGGCGGATGAGAGAGAGAAAGAGAAAGTCGACGATCTCGACGTCGCCGACGACGGTGGAGAGAGGGAAAGGAGATCGCGATTTTTCCTCCAATCATCCTCTTCTGCGTCGCCATTGCAGGCCATAGGAGAGAGAGAGAGAAAAGCAGCAGCGGGGAGAGAAGGACGTCGACGGTGGAAGAGAGGGGGGCGACGGCGAGGAGATCTCAACCGCGTCGGCGACGATGGAGAGAGGGAAAGACGATCGCGACGGAGGCGGTGGAAGAGAGAGAAAGTAGATCTGTTGCCGGGAAAACAGAGGTAACGACGGCTGTAGAGAGAGTCGGCGGCAGCGGCGGCGGCGGCGGCGGTGGAGAGACATCGTCTGAAGGAAGAACAGTGATTTGTATAGTTTGTATGTTTTGTAACATTAGTTTGTATTGTTAGTATTTTTGTACAAAATGTAAGTATGGTTTGTATAGTTTGTATGTTTTGTAATATTAATTTGTATACTTTATATGTATTGATTTGTGCTGCAAATCACGTCGCTTTGTATTGTAAGTACTAATAATTTGTATACTTTATATGTATTGATTTGTGATTCAAAAAACATTACAAACATATTTGACAAAAATGACAAACATGTGGACAAAAATAACAAACATTACAAACAATACAAAAGAAACCAACAAACATTACAAACATTACAAAATAACAAACATTACAAACATTGCAAACAAACATTACAAACACTACAAACAAACATTACAAAGCATACTACACGTACAGAATATCACTACTTACAATACAGATTGGTAAACTTGTATTACAAACAAATGAATACAAAGTATACAAATCATAAGATAAAAGTATACAAACTTGAATAACAAAAGTTACAAATACAAACCAATGAATAGAAAGTGTATAAATCATAACATAAAGTATACAAACTAGACAAACAAACATTACAAACATTACAATGTATACAAAATATTACAAAGCATTACAAACAAACATTACAAAGCATACTACACGTACAGAATATCACTACATTACAAAACATTACAAAAATAACAAACATTACAAACAATACAAAAGAAACCAACAAACATTACAAACATTACAAACATTGCAAACAAACATTACAAACATTACAAACAAACATTACAAAGCATACTACGCGTACAGAATATCACTACTTACAATACAGATTGGTAAACTTGTATTACAAACAAATGAATACAAAGTATACAAATCATAACATAAAGTATACAAACTAGACAAACAAACATTACAAACATTACAATGTATACAAAATAGTAATATAAACATTACAAACATCACGAACTCAATACTGTTGCCGGAAAATCATCCACCACCGTCTCTGGTCGCCGGAAAACTGCTCCGCCGTCGCCGGAAAAGTTGACAAGAACTCTCTCTCTCTCTCTCTCTCTCTCTCTCTCTCTCTCTCTCTCTCTCTCTCTCTCTCTGCGTCCCCAAACAATTCCCACAATTCCCAGAGGCTCTCTCTCGTACAGGAATAAGGGAAAATGGAATTAATGCCACCCGCCCACGCCGCCGAAGCCCACATCGTCGGCGTCAGAGAGGACCGCCGGCGGGACTGGGAAAAAAGGTCACGTCGCCGGGCCGGAGAAGGGAGCTGGTGCCCGCGTGTTAGTGGCAGGTTTTTTTTTTATTTTAATTGATAAATATAATAAACATGTAATTACTATACTGCCCTTCATTAAATTGAATTAATAGGAGCCCTTGGATTTTAATGAGCTTTAGTGGCTGAGATTCACTTAGCCATGTGACTAAGGGACCCCCCCTTAGTCACCTGATCTTAGCCCGAATAAAGGGTCCCGATAAAGGAAACAAAAGTTTGGTCGCTAAGGGGTCGTTTGGAAGTTGCGATGGTTTTGTTGAGATTGTCATTATGCATGTATTGTTTATAATGTTGCATCGTTTTTTTATTTTTTTAGCAGAAACAATAAATGATTGTTTCTGTGATGTGACAGAAACTATCGCTCATTTTGAGTGATTGTTATATCTCAACTTTTAGTTGTGATTGTTGAGATAGTTGAGTTGAGATTGTTTTGTCTCAGCTTTTAACTGATGCGACATACACAATCACACATACCAAACGTTGTATTCTACAATACATCAAATTCGACAAATACATATATAATATTATACATGCATTCTCAATAATACATCTATTTAACAATCGCAACTTCCAAACGACCCGACTAAAATATACCCACCGTTTTACATATCTAGTTATCTAGTGAGACCGGAGAGGAAAAGGAAGCCATTAAAGTTGGCCTCCAGACTCGTAACCCATTGCTCCCAATGCCTACAAAATCTTTTAATTTGTCGTTTTGGTCATCTTTTTCCTTTGCCAACCATTTCTCCTTTGTAAAAACCAGAAACCCAACGATGCTTCTTTAAACATATACGTATCTTCTTCTCACGTGGACGAAGATTCCAAACGGTCTTTAAAAGTAAACTCTGTTTTCCCTTTCTCATTAGGTGACAGACAAACAAGTAACATGGATTAGAAGCATAAATTACATTAGTTTTTTTTTTTAAAGTATTGTCTTATTTATTGTTAGCTTGATGAATAGATACTATAATCTCCGAACATATATAAAAAGGTTAAATTACACGTTGAGAAATCGTAAATTTAGTTGCTATGGTTGATAGCGGGATAATCTACATACATATGCACATCATAACCTCTCATAATTATGAGTCACAAATTCGAAACTTGAACGGGAGAGCATCTATAATTGTAAACAGAGCATACCGTCTTCAGTAACTTAGAAGGTCGTTTGGCTGGGTTTAAATAAGAGATAAAATGTACAACTATTATATGCGATGTGAATGAGCAAATAAATTGTTCTTCATCAACACAAATACACAATCCTTGATACTAAATTAAATACACAAACAAATGATGAGAGCCTAAAAGGAATGCGGCCCAAGTTCTGAGTTGGGCCCAATTCTTGCAGTCCTAATTTATTGTTGGGCTCCAACTGTGGACTAGGATTCAAGAGTATTAGGATTAAACTACGACTATCCTTGCTATAGAATAGCGGATATGACAGGAGAGCCCGACACTGTTGTCGAGAGATGGGTTTATGAATCCCTTAAGGTGTGGGCTTCAAATTTGGGCCCTCAGGTGGGAGTGTTTGATCCATCAATGAGTCTGGGTCGCAAACCACCAGATGAAGAACGTAGGTTTTTTTGGTGGAATGGTGAGGTTCCAAAGCCATTTTTACCTATTCAAGTTATCTCAATTTCCCGGGGTTAGATCGACCGTTGTTAGGGTCCGCTAGTCTTGTGTGTCGAATGGTAATGATAGGCAAATCGAACTCGAAATTTGCTACATTTTGTTTTTTTTTTGTTGCCATATCCCTTTTTCTCTACGGTTTATACCCCTAATTGGGATGCATTTAATAGTTTCTTCCTCGTCAGATACGTGGCTTCCATCATACCTAATCAAGATTGCGTTCTTGTTGATCATAAATGATCGATTTAATTACAACATGCCGTCCACAGTAACCGTTTAATGAGTTGAACTAACATTTTTTTTTTCTTCTTTCTGGTTATGCATAATAAAATGGACGAATAAATGACAAACCTGAAAAAGAAAGAGAATGACAACTAGAACGTCTCGAGAATCCAATGAAATCAAGTTCGTGGTAGCTCCCATTAATTTCCATGAAATTACATCACCACCTAATTTATGTAAAAAATATCCAATGAAATCAAGCAGTTCTCGAGCGCTCCGATTAATTGCCACGATATCAGCTTTGCTACCTAAATATCTACAAATCATACGTCATTTTGTTCAATTTCCTTTGAGTATTTCCGCTAGTCAATCGACACATATTCATATGTACATAGCTGTCACACTTTTACACATATAACATCACTTAATCTCCATAGCAGCATGTAGCAGTTTACAATGATTAGATTCACATTAAATTCGATAAGGTCGAACAGAAAGTAGAGTCAAATCACACTAGATAGATGTACAATCCAGTTCGATTAAGATTGCCCAATTCAAGTGTATGGTTATTTTTTCTCATTCTATTGAATTCCTTTTAACGGCCAACAATGTAACCTGACCAAGTTGAAATAACATCGGACTGAATCGAGCAAAATACGCATTACATTCAATTTGAACCGAGCCGAGCCGAGCCGAGCCAAGCCATACACCCCTTTTGAGTGGTCCGTCAACCCATATGAACATACACGAATTGGGCATTGCCGACTAGGCAAAAGGAAAACAGTGAGATTGGCTAACAGCAGTGGCAGTAGAAGAAAACCAGCCCAAAGGGAAACGAAAACCCCACAAACACACACACACAGCAGCTGCCTCCCAGCTCTGCCCTGTCCTATCAAAATCACCCATCCATGATCTCAAATCTACAACAAGAAACAGAGACTTCCTTTATGGAATCGAATTGGTTAGGTTTTTGTACAAGCAATGACAAAAAGGTCATAAAAAGACAATAGATTAGGGGTTATCTCTATCATCACCCGTATCCGAAATTGAAGATCATCATCGAAACAGAGGGAAAGACCAATAGCACCAGCAGCAGCCACCAGCCAGCAAAAGAAAGGGTACATAAGACTATTATTACTTTGCTGTTTTCATTGTCTTCCTTAGCTTCGCCAAACCCCATTTGAGGAAAAGGGGTCTCTGTTTATTTTCTAAATGATCGAAGGTTCTGTTTGTTTTTCGGGTTTTCCCCATCTGGGTTTGTTCGTAGGGAGTCGGGGAAACAACTCTACGACTAACAATACACATATGAATCTCCCATTGGGCCACTCCTCAATCGGGTTATTAGTCGTATTTGACCGAAGTTTTGGTCAAGGAAACGAGAAAGGAGTATCCTTTTTAACAATTTCCATGGCATAAAAGGAGAAAACCAGGACCCAAAAAACCCAAAAAAGAGAAAGGAAAAATAATAAGGGGATGGAATAGAAAAAAACCGAAAGGGGAAAAGAAAAGAAGGGTAACAGAGAAATTCACGAATTTGGATTATCGCAACAACTGCATCACACAACTCCTCATTCGCCCCCCTCTCCTCCCCTTACCTTTCTGGCCTCATTCGTTTTGGCCTGACCTTTTCTCTAACCATTGGTATAACAACAATGGCTAAAGTCGACATCTTGATGTAAAAATTGCCATTACCCATCTTCCTTTTCCTTCTAAAAGGTACACATTACTAGACTCTCTGTTGTTCTCAGTCATTCCTTTTCGTCCTTTGGCTGTTGTTGTTGTTGGTGGTGGTGTATTACTATTCACCCCCACAGTTTCAAAGTTCCTCTTCCTTTTTGGGTCGGTCTCTTATGGCTACCGATAATAACTTATGTGCATGTCACATTTTTTGTTGTTGTTTTCGCGCTCTCTTTTATTCTTTCTGATCTTTGTGACCTAGCTACCTGGGGGAGGGCTGGTATGGTAGCAGTAGCAGCAGCTGCTGCTATTTTGCTGCCACTGACCTAAAAAGGTTTGTACTTTCATAGGTCGATACACAAATTGACATGGGGGAAAGGGGATTTAACCCAATTGATGTTGTCCCAAATTATGGAAAACCCAGAATTGGGTTTCGTCAATTGGGAGTTTCTCGTGGGGTTGGGTGGTACGATGCCATAGTTGTTTGATCATGGAGCTGTTGTTCTCTGTTCTTTTCGTTTTTTGTTTGTAACTTTTTGGGCTTCGGTCCCACCTCACTGGATAGGGAGGTCTATTTCAAGTTTCGATCGAGTGCTGGTTACTGGGTTTTGCAATATTGTGTGAATCAATTACATGGGATTTTTTTTTCAGAAATCGATTTAGTGCGTCCGTTTTTGGCCTTAGGGTTCTTAAACAAATAGTCACAATGCGGGGTTCTGCTGCCAATTTTATGAATGGGTTTAGTGGATTAGATCCTTTGGCTGATTCTGTTAGCTGATTCCTTTTGGTCAGTATGCAAAAGTCGCAGGCTTTTCAGGCGGGTGGTGAGGATCTTTGTTTTTGTTAACGCTACTTTGCCTGCATGCGGTTAGATTTGTGTTGCGTTTCCTGTTCTAAGTTGTGCCGTTGCTCGTTCTGGTTTCCGGATGTGAAATCATTTACATAAAACTTGTGTAGTCAATAGTATATATCTAGGGTTCCTAAGTTATTACATTAGCAAAAGTTCCGTGTTGCGTTTATGCAACTGTGTACAATTTGTTTGTAACAGTCTGCTGGCTGGTTACACTTTAGTACTTGCGGGCTAGTGATTTTCTGTTAGCCTTTACCTGATGTCTCTATCCTATTAACTCGCAGTTAATTTACTTTCATTTACCTTCTGTTCCTTAATTAGAATAGATTGAATCATAATGGGATTTGCTGAATTCATTACCCTATGTGAAAATGATGAACTGCAAACTTAACTGTAAAGAACCTGCTAAGAACTAAGAAGTAACCGTTCCGTCTTTCCTAACGTATGTGAGTATGGTTGTAGATTCGGTGTTTCTTTGATTCATGTGGAGCTTTTGTCCAAAATGTGAAAACAAAAATTACATCTGTTCTTCGTTGTTACCTGAGTAATTTGCCTAAAGGTTTTATTACCATTGTTACTAGTTTCTAAATCTGACACAACATTTTAAGTTCTTGATTATAGTTCCATGGAAAGTCGATAAATTGCATTAGATAGAAATGGACACACTTCAAAACTCCAGCTGTATCTTTCTCTCCCTCTGTCATTCATGCATGCATGTTCTCAGAATAGAATAGGAATAAAAACTGATGAGTAAGTTGGCATTCAAGTAAAATGATTTATATTGCGATTTACTGCTAGGATACAATCAAGTTAGATGAGTAAATCCAGGAATCCAATTTGCTGCATAATCAAATTAGATTAATCATGTTATTGCTTCATATGCATTGTTTTTATTCATTTGCCACTAGACTATAACTTTCATCTGCCAGTTAACTATTCTAGAGCATTTATCAGGGCAACATAATCTTATTTTGGCTACTTAAGGCAGAACTTTGGTTTGCTGATTTGCTAACAGACCATTGAAGAAGCTTTTTCCTGCTCTAGGTCAAGCATGTCATATCTTGGCCTTGGCTCCTTTGATGCTTGATTAATTCTTTTGGAATTATGATTGATTCATTTTATTTCAACAGGAAAATCATATTTGCAGGCCTCTTGTACACGTTAAGTGATATTTTGAGGGTTGTAGTGTAAATAATGGAAGTTCTTCCTCAGTCAGCTGGTGTTCAACAGAATTCAGAAACAGTTGATCATCATGATGGTGTATTTAAAACTTCTGAACAAGGAAGACAAATAGAAAATGCCAGAGGTAGTACAGTGGGTGAATCATTGCAAAAAGTTGGAGGGCATCAAGTCGATAGAGAAACTGGAGCTTCTGATCATCTGGCAGAAATTCAAAGCGAATCTCAAGATTTTGATGATGATGATGACTTGAATGTGCAGCATGAACCGATCAACTATAGGGATGGAGAGCCGTCTCTGTCTGAGCCTAAGTGGTTAAAAGACGATGAATCTTCAGCACTATGGGTCAAGGTATCAGCACTCACTCTCTTGGCACTGTATGTCATGTGTTAATTTGTCCAAAGCTATAATTATACATAAACAGGCAAGTAGTCTGCCTATTTAGGTATGAATTTCGTATTGATAGTCAGCATTCTTTTCCCCAATTATAGTGGAGAGGGAAGTGGCAGGCGGGAATCAGATGTGCAAGGGCGGACTGGCCACTGTCAACTTTGAGAGCAAAACCAACTCATGATCGGAAGCAATACTTTGTTGTGTTTTTCCCCAACACTAGAAACTATTCATGGGCAGATATGGTACTTGTTCGATCCATCAAAGAAAATCCGGAGCCCATTGCATATAGGACTCACAAAATTGGACTTAAATTAGTTAAAGATTTGGGCATTGCGCGGCGGTTCATAATGCAAAAACTGGCCGTTGGAATGCTGAATATTGTTGATCAATTTCACAATGAGGTAATTGCTTTCCAGTAATCATTAGAAATTATTTTCCGTGTTTTTTATTTTTTGGATGTTTTATCTTGTTTTGCGCAAACTTGTAACAGGCTCTGGTAGAACCTGCTAGGTCTGTGTTGGTGTGGAAAGAGTTTGCTATGGAAGCATCACGCTGCAGTGGTTATTCGGATCTTGGAAGAATGCTTCTGAAGCTTCAAAATGTAAACCCCTGTTACTTTTGATACTTTGTTGATTATAAACTGCTTGTTTGATTAAACCGATTGGAGGTCCATTGGAGAAGTTATCAACAGAAGCAAATGATAGAAGTGTGTGTAAAAAACTATTAAAATTAGTGAATGGTCGGGAAATAAATAGGAGATCCCATAACTTGTTTGCTTCTTTAGGGTAGATGAATGTACTAAAATATCGGGTTGTGTGAAATAACTAAATGGACCGCACGAGCTTTGGAAGGTTTATAGAAGAGGAAAGTATAGAATGGGAGAGGTAAAAAAGATAAAGTTCAATGGTTTATATGAATTTAAACATTCTTTAGATTCTAAATATTGAAGTTAGAGGTTGAAAAGGCGGGTTTGGTTGTTAAGGTGATATTTGATCAGCCTGTTTTCTACTGAAAGTTGGATTTGTTTTCCCTCCACACCCCTTTTCTTGTTTGAAAGAATCACATTTGCTTTGACAATGTTCTTATTGAGATTCAGGAGGACATTCTTACTAATTTTATGTAATCATTTGCACGAAAGCTATAATTTTTACCAGGTACCTGTTGAAGGTTACAATTCTTGTTCTCTCCTTCAATAATTGTTAGTTCTATACTGCATTACATATGCATCTAAATGAAGGGAAATCAAATTATTTCCTTGAATATTCGTTCATCTATTGACGTTAACTTTGAGGAGTATTAGTATCTGTGATTTATTACCTTTTGTTTTCTTTACAGATGATTCTGCAGAAGTATATGAAAGGTGATTGGCTGGGCAGTTCTTTTCAAACATGGGTGCAACAGTGTCAGGATGCATGTAGTGCTGAATCAGTTGAGTTGTTAAGAGAGGTAGGGTATTTCCTTTCCTTCCATTTAGCTGAAGCAGCCCATCTTTCGTGCCTCTACCTCCTCGCAATCAGACTCAAGCTGTAGACCACCGGTTATGTTTTCTTATTCTTGCTGGAATGTTAAGCCCTAGTAGATGAATGAAGTAGAGGATGACTCGAGTAAATGATGAAAAATTTGAAATATTATATTTCTCGTTCTTCAAAGTCAACCAATTTTAAGTACAAATGCTTAGAAGTGTATCTGTTTGAGTTATGATTTGATAAATTTCTCTTAATTTCTTTTCCACTGTCCGAGCCAATGCAGGAACTGTATGATTCCATTCTGTGGAACAAAGTTAACTCTCTTTGGGATGCACCAGTGCAACCAACATTAGGTTCTGAATGGAAAACCTGGAAGCATGAAGTTATGAAATGGTTTTCAACATCTAATCCCTCACCCAGTGGAGGAGAAACTGAACAGAGACATTCTGATAGTCCTTCCACAATGGGACTTCAAGTTAGCCAGAAGAGGCCCAAGCTTGTAGTTCGCCGAGCAGAACCACACGCTCCACAAGCTGAACCAAGCAACCCACCTCAAACTATGACATTGGATATTGATTCTGAGTTTTTCAGCAATCGAGAAAATACAAACTCCTCTGCTCCTTTGTTAACAGGGCTTTCCAAAGACGAAGATATTCAAAAAGGAGCTAATACACCTGTAGAGTCAACTCCTCGTAGTGTGCCAGATAGATGGGATGGAATTGTAGTTGAATCTGGAAGTTCTTTGCTCAGCAAGACTCCTTCTAAAGACATCACAATTAGGAGCATCACGGATCCTGGTACTAGTAGGAACAGGCAGTGCACAGCTTTCATCGAGTCTAAAGGTCGGCAATGTGTGAGGTGGGCAAATGACGGTGATGTCTATTGCTGTGTTCATTTGGCCTCTCGATTCACAGGTAGCTCGAAAAAGGCAGAGGCAAGCCCTCCTGTTCATAACGTAATGTGTGAAGGAACCACCGTGCTTGGCAGTCGATGCAAGCACCGGTCTCTTCCTGGTTCTTCTTTCTGTAAGAAACATGGTCCCAAGACTGGTACTCCTACTAGCATACCTAATTTACCTCAGACTTCACTCAAAAGAAAGCACGTAGAAGCATCTTTCTCCACTTCAGAAACACCACACTGTAGAGATATGGTCTTATTTAAAGAAGCTGAAACTCCCCTTGAAGTGCAGCCTGTCTCATTCATACAGTTGGACTCGAGACAGAGTTCATTAGGTAAAGAGGTGCTACATTGCGTAGGTTCAAACCCTATGGATAAGAACGTTCCTTGCCACGAAACTCCAAAGAGGTATTCTTTATACTGTGATGATCATATCCCAAGTTGGCTTAAGCGTGCAAGGAATGGTAGGAGTAGAATAGTATCAAAAGAGGTTTTTGTAGATCTCTTGAAAAGTTGTCGTTCAATGGAGCAAAAGTTGCATCTACATACAGCGTGCGAGCTTTTCTACAAGCTCTTCAAGAGCATTTTGTCGGTAAGAAATCCTGTTCCCATGGAAGTACAGCTTCAGTGGGCCCTGACTGAAGCTTCAAAGGATTTCCGAGTTGGGGAGTATTTGTTGAAGTTAGTCTGCACTGAAAAGGCGAGACTGGGAAGAATCTGGGGACTTGGTGCTGGTGAAGAAGATACTCATGTCTCATCCTCTTCCATTAAAGAATTGGCAGTTTTACCAATGCCTCTCGACGATGATGATGAACACTCCATTAGGTGCAAAATTTGCTTGGACAAGTTTACTAATGAACAAGAGCTTGGCAGTCACTGGATGGATAATCATAAAAAGGAAGCACAATGGCTATTCCGTGGGCATGCTTGTGCTATCTGCCTCGATTCTTTCACTAACAAGAAAGGGTTAGAGACACATGTGCAGGACAGACATCATGTGCAGTTTGTTGAACAATGCATGCTTCTTCTGTGCATCCCTTGTAAGAGTCATTTTGGGAATGCTGAACAGTTATGGTCACATGTCCTCTCGGCTCACCCAGTTGACTTTAGAGTGGCGAAATCTGATCCTAAAGAGGCAATCAGTCGAGCAATTGAGCAAGATAATGGAGCTCCTGTGGAAGATATCTCTAACGATAATCCAAGTGGTGTAAGAAAATTTATCTGCAGATTCTGTGGGTTGAAGTTTGATCTACTGCCTGATCTTGGTCGCCATCATCAGGCTGCTCATATGGGACCGAATATGTTGAGCTCTCGGCCTCAAAAGAAGGGAATTCGGTACTACTCTTATCGATTAAAATCTGGAAGACTTACTCGTCCTAGGTTCAAGAAAGGTATGGCAACAGCTGCTGATAGGATCAGGAATAGGGCGAATGCTACTATGAAGAAACGTATTCAAGCTACAAAGTCTTTAAGTACCATGGAGTTAAATGCTCTGCCTCATGTAACTGAGTCAACAGCTCTTGGAAAGTTGGCAGAATTTCAGTGCTCAGCAGTTGCCAAGATTCTGTTTTCCGAGATTCAGAAGACCAAGCCTCGGCCAAATAACCTGGAGATCTTGGCTACTGCACGGGCTGCATGCTGCAGGGTAAGCCTAAAAGCCTCCCTCGAGGGTAAATATGGGATTTTGCCAGAAAGGTTTTATCTCAAAGCTGCCAAGCTGTGCAGCGAGCATAGTGTTCCAGTGGAATGGCACAATGAGGGGTTCATTTGCCCAAGAGGATGTAAAAGTTTTAAGGACCCCAACTTGTTATCACCTTTAGTGCCGGCTGAAAATGGTTTTTCCAAATGGAAAGTGTCAAATCATTGTTTCGATCGTGCCGATAGTGAGTTGGTGGTGGATGAATTCCATTATGTTATTGATTTGGATGATGTTAGGGAAGGGCCTAAGAGAAAGGAAGTCGTCGTTTGTAAGGATATAAGCCTTGGAAAGGAGTCCATACCGGTAGCTTGTGTAGTGGATGAAGATCTATTCAACTCCATCCATGATTCAACTGATGCTCAAAATGCTGGTGTCCTGAAGCCCTGGGAATCTTTCACCTACCTTACAACTGCATTATTTCACGAATCCTGTCATCCTGAATTTGAGGTAGTTTTTGTCCTTTGCTTTCTCACAAATCTATTTGAGTTGGATGCTGATAACTTACTTCTACTGTATAGAGTTTTCAGCTGGGATGCACGTGTCCATCTTCGATGTGCAGTCCTGAAACATGTGGTCATGTTTACCTCTTTGATGACGATTACGATGATGCAAGAGACATATATGGAGCACCAATGAACGGCAGATTCCCATATGATGATAAAGGAAGGATAATCTTGGAGGTACTTCGTTAGAAAAGGGAGTTATTAAGTTTCTCAATCTTCTGTCCTCTTATGATTTTATCTTTCCTTGTGATGATATCTCTTGCTCAAATTCTGCAGGAGGGTTACCTTGTTTATGAGTGTAATAGCTTGTGTAGTTGCAATAAATCATGCCCGAACCGAGTACTTCAGAACGGAGTACGGGTGAGGTTGGAAGTCTTCAAAACAGAAAATAAGGTATTAACTTTAATAAATTTCTGCAGTGTTTGGAATATAACCTTGTACAACTGACTTCATCTTTTACCGCTTGCAAAAATAGGGTTGGGCAGTAAGGGCTGGTGAACCTATCCTACGTGGCACATTTGTTTGTGAATACATCGGTGAAGTTATAGATGAAGATGAAGCAAAAAAGAGGCGCATTAGGTTCTTAAGAACGATTCAGTTTTTTCCCACTTTTTATTATTATTATAAATATTGTGCCTTATGTAAACCTTGTATGTTTGGGTGTTCAGGTATGGAAAAGAGGGTTGCAGCCATATTTATACTATTGATGCTCATACCAATGATATGAGCAGAATGATCGAAGGAGAAGTTCCGTTTGTGATTGATTCCACAAAGTACGGGAATGTGTCGCGGTTCATAAACCACAGGTACACAAGTTTGTTTACTAAAAGTTCCTTCCTACTAGCATAAATTCTTTTCTTTTAAGAAACTAGGGCTCGTTTGATGTCGGATCTGAACATCAGTGGATTGTGTGAAATCCTTGGACTGGAAATGTAATGGATTGTGATATTTGTGTATGTTGAAAAATGGACAGTAAACATTGTTAGTATAGATTTCGGAAACTCATATATTATGTGGGTTTGTCAAATTCACGGGGCCCACGAATTCTACATCCCTCGTGTATTTGCTCAACCAAACAAAGGGTTTTGGAAGATTGTAACCAGAACACTGTGGGCAAGATCCAGTGCTTATGTTCCTGAAAGGAAAAATTGTGAATCGATGCAAAAGACTTTCTGAGCCTCTTTTAGCTTCAGTCTTATACTCATTTGTATCGTCTCCTTTGGCAGTTGTGCACCGAATCTTGTAAACCATCAAGTTCTTATTGACAGCATGGATTCTCAGCGCTCTCATATTGGTCTCTATGCAAGTCGAGATGTAAGTAGTTTGGTCATTTCTCCTATGAATTCTTCACCATGACGCTAACCTCGTTTGGTCATTTCATTAGTATGATGCTAACCTCGTTTCTGGTTTCATGTCCTTGCACAGATAGCTTATGGCGAAGAACTGACACATAACTACAGGTACGAGATACTATCTGGAGAAGGACATCCATGCCATTGTGGTACTTCCAAGTGCCGTGGCAGACTGTACTGAAATAATTCACGTGCTGTCCTTCATCACAATGTCTGCTACAGCTTGGAGGGATTTTGCCCTGGTTTTGAGCTCTCGACAGTCAGCATTGATCAACCTGTTGTTGGGTTGTCGACCTAGCTCATCATGGCATCGATTTTGTTGGCTAAAACCTCTGAGCTCCATTGTATGATATGCTCCTTTTTTTTAGTTCATGCAGAATGTTTTATGGAAATGAATAGCAACGACTTCTTGCATTATGCTTTCCCCCCCATAGAACTGTTTCTACTTGTTGTAGGCTTGTAGCTGTAGGTAGGTTTTAAGATACTGATGATTGCTTATTAGGGTTATTTATTGAAGGGTTTCTAGCGGCTAACTTGTTTTGGGCAGGGCAGGCATTCTTTTGTGCAGGAATTCTGATATTGCATTTGCATAAAATGACCCCTTTCAGTACAATCCCCTCTGTGTAAGGGTTGTTTCATTGATTCTATCACAAGGTAAACTATACTATCAAGTTCCAGAACGGAGGAGCCTGAATATCAACCATTGCGACATGGTCGATCGATGGAACAACATGACGATCCGTTCATATTTCATACTTCTCTGTCACTCGAACTTCATTTCTCCACCACCCATAACTCTGAAGAAAACAGAAGGGAGTCCAAAGCTGAAAACCACCAACCCCAACATTCCTGCAAAACAGAAACAAGTTCCCAAAAGATCAAACCACTTCATGTCAGCAAAAAAGACATCTATTTTTCGCAGAATGTATTAGTTACCATATTCAACATGTCTTGGAATTCCATGTTCCTTCCCCTTCTTCTTTCCTTCGGCCTCAGGCAGTGGAAATGCCTTCAAATGCAAAACCATGGAGACAAAAACCATCCCACTCCCAATTTTCTCTCTCACAACTCTCTCCCTCAGATCCAAAGAACATAAACCAGCAGTTCCAGTAACAAGATCCTCCACCACAACTTTGCAGAACAGGAATAGGGCCGCCCACAATGTCACTTCTGCAATCCTTCTGGAAACAGGATTGGAGCTAGCTGCCGCCACGTTCATCAGATTTACAGCACAGGCACCAGTGTACAGAGGGAACCAAAAGTACCAATCTACAAACCAGAAAAAAAGACAAACAATTACAAAGGACAGATAAAAGCGGGCAAAAGTTACCAGAAAGAGTATAAAGGGTTAAAAATTACCAGGGTCGTTTAACTGGACAGAGGCAGAGTAAGCAAAGAGTGCACCCATTAACCCAGAACAGAGAGTGAACAGCTTTGTGCTTGTCGCCATTGTTATCCCTTTTTCTCTTTCTTCCTATTTTGGTTAAGCTCAGTGATCTCAAGGATGGATCGAAGAAGGAGACAAACCAGCCAATAGAGAAGTCAACTCCTTTAACAGAACCCATTATTCTATATTTGCCCCTTACTCCAATCTCATATGTTGCAGAATTTTTTTATACAATAAATTATGGTTGAAGGAATTGAAACCCACTTGATAATATTCATTACAAAGTTCAATACTTGGACTGGGCAGGAATGGTTGTTCGTTCTTTTCACAACGCACCGGGATAAGGGTCGGCCGTAGAAAAACGAAATGCAAGTAAATGGGTCCAAATCAGAAGGTTTTGTAAGTCACGTTGATACAAAGACATTTCGAATTCAGAAATTACGGATCAACCTTCAACTTCCAGAGTCTGAATGCAATCAGCTCACAATGTTGATTGATTCCCCTGCCTCTGCCTCTGGGTCGGCTGCTGTATATATAAAGGCAGAGCATGTCAACCAGGAGAAATCACCAACCTTTTCTCTTATATTTCATCATACATCTCAATTGAAGCCCACAAAAAATTCGTGTCCTCGAAATGGCTGTCCCGAGTAGCAAGTTGTTTCTAATGGCCTCCATCTTTATTCTCGGAGCTTTGGCTTCTCGAGCCATGGCGCGATATACCCCTGACGAGGCTTCCATGCGCCTTAGGCACGAGCAGTGGATGACTCGTTACGGACGAGTTTACGGGAGTTCGCACGAGAAGGAGATACGATACCAGATATTCAAAGACAATGCGGCTCTAGTCGACTCGTTCAATGCTGCTGGAGACAAGCCTTACAGGCTAGGAACCAACCAGTTTGCGGATTTGACGAACGAGGAGTTCAGAACGACCAGGTGCAGGTTCAAGGGTCACATGTGTTCCCCACAGCAAGGAACATTTCGGTACGAAAATGTGAGCGAGGTGCCGACCACCATGGACTGGAGGAAGAAGGGAGCCGTCACTCCGATCAAAGACCAAGGGCAGTGCGGAAGCTGTTGGGCGTTTTCGGCTGTGGGAGCGATGGAAGGAATCACTCAGCTCAGTACGGGCAAGCTGGTGTCTCTTTCGGAGCAGGAGCTTGTTGATTGACACCAAAGGTGACGACCAAGGTTGCGGCGGCGGGTTGATGGACGATGCTTTCAAATTCATTATCCAGAACAAGGGTTTGACCACCGAGACCAATTACCCATACACCGCTGCCGATGGATCATGCAGCGCTAGCAAAGAAGGAAACCACGCTGCTACGATCACAGGATACGAAGACGTGCCTGCCAACGACGAAGCCTCGTTGATGAAGGCAGTAGCCAGCCAGCCGATTTCAGTGGCAATCGATGCGGGGGACTCCTCGTTCCAGCTTTACGAGAGCGGGATCTTTACTGGAGAATGCGGGACCGAACTGGACCATGGAGTGACGGCTGTTGGATATGGTGAGAGCGGTGGGATGAAGTACTGGCTGATCAAGAACTCCTGGGGAGCTCAATGGGGAGAGGAAGGATACATCCGAATGCAAAAAGATGTCTCTGCCAAGGAAGGTATTTGCGGCATTGCTATGCAAGCTTCTTACCCCACTGCCTAAGATCAAAGCATATCTACGATGTGCATGCAGTCACTGCTCAATGCGTGCGTTCGTGTTTGTAAGATACATTTGTGAAGTACTTATGTAAGTATTATGTACTTCTTTATGTTGTTGCTCATTGTTTTCTCAGGGAAACAAGAGGGCATTGCTTATATGCCTATACCTTCGGCTTATCTTGTAAATCTATATATGTATAGTAATGAAAACGTACTTATTCCGTCATCTCTACATTTTTGAATTGTGTACTATAAATCAATTTATACCATTATGTTATGGTACAACTTTATAACTTGAAGTTGTATTATCACATAAAGGTACACGTTCAAGTTGTACCATAAAAGAATTTGTACAAAAAATATATGTACAATATGAAGATGTATCATAACGTAAATGTACAATTTTAAGTTGTACCATAAAGACAAAACCCTATAGCACCAATACTATATAGCATTGTAAAATTTATCTTTTAAGTATCTTCAAAGGATCAACGAACCATGTCTAGTTTATGTATAGTTATTTCTCCAACAAATGTGCTAATGCACTAGAGGTTTTGAATCTACCAATGAGCGGCTGTGAAGAGCAAAGATCCTGAGAGTTTGCTCATTGCTGTACCCTGTTTTGGCAATTATGTTGGAGGAAAATGCCAAAGTGTGTGCGCAATTGGTGAGGCAGAGTATGGGAAGATTGGGACCATGAGTCACATGAACAAATTTAAGTCATTAAAAGAAAAATGAACAAATTTAAGTGAAGGGTTTTGTTTTTGGATATGTGGATTGAGGAATTTTACAATGCTATATAGCATTGGTGTAACGGATTTTAGTCTTTATGGTACAAATTGAAGTTGTATATTTAATGTTATGGTACAACTTCAGATTGTACCTGTACTGTTTGTACAAATTCTTTTTATGGTACAACTTGAACTTGTAAATTTATGTGAGAGTACAACTTCACAATTTGAACTTTTACATTCAACATTATGGCACACCTTTAAGTTGTACATTAAAGCACAAATTCTTTATAGCATAGTAGAAGTGCTCGTGTGCATTTCTTTTGTTTCTTTGTAGTTGTAGTAAGCCACGAGAACATTGTACTTTGGTTAGTTGCTCTCATGGATGAGGATTCATGTATGCTCGTTCCCATTGTTAGTCTAGGGATATACAACGGTTTGGTTCATATCGGATAATATCGAATTGAATATGATGCAGTTCGGTCATTGTTCTCATGAATGTTACAAATATTGAAGAGAAATTGAATGAATTGACCTTTGGACCTTACCAAACCGAATAGATTGCAATGACAATCTGATCATTGGTATAAAAAGAAATAGAACATCCCAAAGAAACGAGAAGCCAATGTACAAATCGAAAAAGATATATTGAAACAAAGGAAGTGGAGAACAATACACAATCCATTGGGTTTCCTGAAACCAAATCGAGTCAGAAGAGGTCGTAATGGTTTCGGTTAACTAAAACCATTAAGCTTCATAGTGGTTCGATTTTTCAAGGGAATGACTTGTTTCAATTATTCGGTTTAGATTCTCGATTCAGTTTAACTGAGCCAATATATCGACCCTTGAGCCAACTTATATATTTACACATGTTCACAAAACTGGTAACTTATATATTTACACATGTTCACAAAAAGATTTGTAGAGATAATCCCTTACTTGTTGTGACAAAATTGTTATATTTGAGTTTTCACCCTACTAATAATTTTGAGGAAGAAATCACATATTGGTTATCCTATGATACTTTGGAGATGAACATTTCGGGATATTTTTTTTAACATATTAGAGTATATTGTTGGTTCATTATCGATAAATCGACAAAAAGAAAAAAAACTCATACGGCATGTATAGGGTTGTGTGAAAAAAACTAAGGAAGAAATTAAAAGATTTAGAAAAAAAATTGCTAAAAATAATGGCTAGACTTTCGAAATACGTCTTCCCACGTGTAGTGAGATGGTTCTTTTATTGTTATAGGTCTTTAATTTGTTGAAGTTTTTTCATGTTCAAGTTATAATGACTAATGAGTAAAGATGGCAAACCAAAAAACTTTGAGTTGCTAAGCTTGCCTTGGTGGTTGGTGCAATGATTCAACCGAGTAATTTTACAATACTATATAGTATCTGTATGAGTGCTATAAGTTTTTGCTTTTATAGTATAACTTGAAATTGTACCTTTAACGTTATGGTACAACTTTAAATTGTACCTATATTTTTTGCACAAATTCTTTTATGGTACAACTTGTACTTGTACCTTTATGTGATGGTGGAACTTCAAGTTGTAAAGTTGTACCATAACATAATGATACAAATTGCTTTATAGTACAACCTAAACTTATACATTTAATGTTATGGTACAACTTCAAATTGTACATTAAAGCACCAATACTATATATATGAGGTCGTTTGGATGTGGAAATTTGAAAACGTTGGAATTTGTCTGAATTTCCATGTTTTACAAAACCAAGGAATTGACTTGTGGAAATTAAAAAAAATTTCACTTTTGGATAGGGTTTAGTTTTGTGGGAATTGATGGTGTGGAATTTGGAAAAAGAAGTAAGAAAACGTGGTAATGTCAAATTACTAGGGGGAGGTGTAGTATTCTCAATTACCATGAATGTGGTAATTGAAGCCAATTTCCATGGTCCAATTCCCATACCCTTTTTGCTCTCCCAAACGTGGGTTTTAAACCCAATTACTGCATTATGTGGTATTTGGGTCCAATTACTACATTGCATTTCCACGTCCAAACGACCCCATAGCATAGTAGAAGTGCTCTGATTCAACCACCTTCGTCTTTCCTTATGGCTGGCCTAGCCCTCTCAGCTATTAATCTTGTAAGGTGAAGATATAAATGGTTGATATTTCTGGAGATAACTCACATGTCACAAGCAAAATCAATTAAAGTCTGTTTGGATGCGGGATTTCGACGGAGGAGTTTGTAAGGGATTTGAGTACAAATTTCGCATTGAAAATGTCGGGGGCTTTGTACGAAATAACTTGAATTGAGACGCAAAAGTTGAACCGAAAACCTCAAATTACATTATTTTCCTCTTCTTCTGCACTTGGTCATCTTCCCTTATGTTATTCATTTCATTATTTTTCCTTGTTCATCTCTAGGAAAAGCTCCCCGGTCTACAATGGAATCGATGGCGACGAGACCCATCCTCGCAGCCTAAACAATTCTTCTCCACCGGTGGGATTGTGAGCGACAGTAGAGGGCGATATCAATCTCTCAGTCTCTCATCTATATAAGATTGTTCATCCAGTTGGAGGATTAATTAGAACTTTAATAGAGGTAGTTGGGTAGGATAGAGACTAAAGTGACTGGATTAGGATATTTAGCTCGCAACAGAGTTGAGGTTCATGATTAATGTGATATCAACTTCTTATATAATTTAGTGGTTGGATTGTTGTGATATAAACTTTGTGATGAATATTGTTCACTCCACTCCATGACTTATTAACTAAACAATAAATGTAACTCAAATTTGGTCACCTAATCTATTATGAACAAAGAACTTTTACCTCAATTCCCTCTTTCTAACCACTTCTTATAGTTTTGACCCAAAACATGCTTCCCATAATTCTTTCTTTTTAGTTATTAGTTTTTAGGGTAAATACAATTTAATATCCAAACCTTTCATTTTAAACAATATAATAGCCAAACCTTTTCAAAAACAATTTAATATCCAAATCGTCAACTTTCTGTCTGTTTGACCGTTAGTTGACACTTAAAAAAAGTTCAAAGCACGACACTTCATCAATATCCATCGATATCTTCTCGGAAAAACCACCAACATATCGTAGTTCCAAACCCGAGAAGTCCATGACTCCACCATGATGGTATAGAATATCTAAATATTCAGTCATCTGCAATGCCAAAACAAGAAACCAAAGTTGTATTGTGACAATTCCCCCTAAACAAAGCTTTTTTGAAGTGTCAACTAACGGTCAAACGAACAGAAAGTTGACGATTTGAATAAAAAATTGTTTTCGTAAAGATTTGGCTATTACATTATTTAAAATGAAAGATTTGGATATTAAATTATATTTACGCTAGTTTTTATCCTTCTTCTTTTGATACTATTTCTTATGATGAAAACCTGCCCTCTTCTCTGTTTTCTTTCTCTTTTTAACTTACTTTTTCTATTTGCATGGCCCTATCACATCCAGCATCGTGCAAGTTAGGCTCTCCATTACCATCATCATCAATTATTACCCATCATTACAATTTGTAATTTAGGCATTTGACACACACTTAACAATGGAAAAGCAAAAGAAAAGAGAGCTTAGCAAAGGAATATGAAGGGATCATGGCACACAGGGTGATTCCAAGAACACAGTTTTGAAGCTCCATTGGTAAACCATGGTTCTTAAATAGTGAATTTTGAACCATGCATGCTTTCTTTCGATAAAAGCAAAGATGGAGACTTAACATGGAACATAATGGATGGAGCAGATCAGTTCTATTTGATTTTGATGCTCCTAAATTCTCTTTTGATATATATAAATTGCTTTTCTTTTCCCACATGCATAGCCAACAAATTGGTCAGCCAGATTGGAATCATTAGCAGAATAAAGCTATTAGTTCTTTAATTGATTCTTCCAAGGGCATTTCATTTTTTTAATAGAAGAAGACTTAATAGGGTTTTTTCTAGACATGATCATAAGTAGCTACATGATCTATCTCCTTTAAGTTTGCAGATTGGTTATTACACTGGTTACCCCCAGTCAACTAGCATCCAGAATAGCAGAATTGGGACAAAGAAGAAGGGCTGTTAAGTCATTTTATCACACAGGGTATCATGAACATGACAGTGATAGTCACAGAGTCACAGACCCACTTCCAGCCTAGAAAATCCAAACCCAAAGAAATCCACAGATGACAGAACATAAAGAAAACAAAAGGTAAATAATAATTAAATTGAACTCAGAAACTATGACTTCTTCAAGCAACAAGAACAAGAGTTGAAAATAATACAAAATAGAAAATGTAAAGAGAAGGGAGGAAGAAGACTGAGAAATCGAGATGATGAATGGTGGGGGAGATGGAGAAATCAAAAGCAAGCAAATTCCTCTCTCAGGACCCACAGTTCAAACAATGATCAAAAGCATACAATAGACACAGAAGCAAAACCCCTCCTGAGTCCTGACCCCATCCACCACTACTCCATTTCTTTGCTTGATTGTTTGGCTTTTGCCCTTTTCCACTTTAATAAAACAGTTGTGAAAAGAGAGAGAGAGAGATAGAGAGAAGGGGGGAAAAGGAAAAGGGAAGAGGGCACACAACACCACCCTCCACTCATTATTCCCTCCCTGCAACTCATTGTTCACTGGTTCCCTTGATGCTTGACACCAGAGCTATTTCAATCATTCTAGCCACTCCTGGAGACTTCATAACCATCAGACGGGAGATGGGATTTCTAAGAATTCCTCAAATTGCTTCTCTTTGGTGAGTTTTTAGCTTCTTGGGGTCTGAAAGCTTCGAACTTTATGTTCTTTGGTGGACCATTGGGCGGTTGATCTGGTTTCTTGATTGATTGGATATGAAAGGAGGAGGAAGAAGCTCTGCAGTTGTTTCCATGGTTTCTCTGAATTGAGATTCACTGCTGGGAAGATAAAGCTTCTGTTTCACTTTCATGGTTGCAGTTGTAGGAATTTGTTAAACTGTTGACTGCTGGTTTGTTAGGTTTCTGAAGTTTTACATAGTGTTTTATGCTTCTTGACTTGATTTGGTGTAAATGAGGTGAAATTCTTCTTTAGACATGGCTGAAGTTAAACTTACAAAGGTAGAGCCAGGGCACACCAAAATTAGAAATGTTCCAATTGCTGTAACCCCAGAAGGGTTTTGGTGCTGTCCTTCCCCTGTAGGGTTTCAGAAAGCCACAAAACATCAAAACCCATTAAACAAAACCAAACTCTCTTCACCCCCTCCAAAGACAACCATCCCAAAGAAGCAATCTTCACATAACAATGAGAGAAGGTCACAGCCACCAAACCCCCCAAGAGCTGCAGTTGCTTCTGATGATCATCAAAGAAGTTGTGGTGCTGATGTACCTGCAGTTAGTGGTTCAGCTGGCAGTGATAGAGGGCCGAGGACTAAAGTTGAGAATGCCCCTAGGAAGGTGGCTATTGAGTTTGGAGATCCTGGAACCAGCGACTTGAAGGTGATCTTGCTCGGAAAGCAAAGTTTTTGTGTGAAGTTAACTGCCCACAGGAATGTTCTGGTTGAGAATAGCAGATTCTTCGCTGAGAAGCTTTCCCATGGCGAGTCTAACTTATCATATCTGGAGGTTGATGATTGTGAGGACATTGAGATATATGTTGAAACTGTGGGACTTATGTATTGCAAAGAGATGAAGCAAAGATTGATCAAGCAGAGTCTGACTCGCGTGCTTCGAATACTCAAGGTAAAATGTCAAGTTCCTTACTGCTATACACTGTATCTTGGTTGTTGATTGATATTAGAGATACCCTTCTTGAATTGATTCAGTCTTTTCTCATAAGGTCATATAGATAATATGTATGTTTCCTCTATCTTGGTTATAGCCATATAGGTTAAGGTATGCTCTGATTTGGTTTGACTGGAGAGTTGGATAGTTTAGACTTTAAAAGATCTCCTTTGACGTGTCCTGTTTTTCAGTTCTTTCATAGTATGCCGGGGACAGTTTTGCAAGGGTAACTAATGGAATGTTCTTTCTGATTGTGGTAATAGACTAACTGTCATGAGCTATATGTGATGCTTGAATGCATTTGGTGTTCCTTCCTCTGATTTATCAAAAACGGTGACTTATATGCATTAAATGAGAATCCTAAATGTTTTTGTCTTCTCGAGGATCTGTCTCTAATTTGGCTAGGATTCTGCAGGTTGCTGAACTTCTCGGCTTCAGTTCATGCATACAATCATGCTTGGAATATCTAGAAGCTGTCCCTTGGGTTGGCCAAGAGGAAGAAGAAAAAGTTGTCTCCACAGTTCTTCGACTCCAGAACGAGGGTTTCGAAGTATCACCAATACTAAAACGAGTCTCTTCCCATGCTTCTGCCCCACCTAAAGACACACTGCCCCGCATAGTAGAACTCGTTCTCAAAAGCAACGAGGAGAGAGGGCGTCGTGAGATGAAATCTGTAGTCCTGAAGCTTCTTCGAGAGAACAACAACAACAGCAACCTCCCAAGCTATGCAGCTGCCACAGATGTATGCAACGAAACTCTTTACAGCTCGTGTGCAAGTTGTTTGAACTCACTGCTATCTTTGTTCAACCAAGCTTCCGAGCCTGAGTTCACTGGCAAGCCTATGGAGAACAAGGAACCTGTTTTGAAGCAAATAGCTTTTGAATCCGACAACCTCTCGTGGCTGCTCGACATTCTAGCTGACAGACAGGCAGCAGATCGGTTTGCTGTAATGTGGGCAGGACAAGTGGAGCTAGCAGCTTTGCATGCAAGCCTCACAGTATCGACTCGGTACCATGTTAGCTGCATCACTGGAAGGTTGTTTGTTGGCATTGGAAAAGGGGAGCTTTTGCCATCTAAGGACACTCGTCAGTCCTTGTTGGAGACATGGTTGCAGCCATTGATCAATGACTACAGCTGGTTGACTCACGGCTGCAGATCTTTCGATAGGAAAGTTGTCGAAGAAGGGATTGGGAGGACGATACTCACACTTCCTTTGGAGAATCAGCAGAGCATTTTGCTTGCTTGGTTGGGAAGTTTCTTGAAGGCTGGTGATAACTGCCCAAATCTGCAGAGGGCATTTGAGGTTTGGTGGAGGAGATCCTTCATCAGACCTTATAGTGAAACTCAAGGTAGTGATGATATTCGACTCCCGCAGCAGCCAGTTGATTGTGCAGTGATATCAGAACAATGAAACATCTATTGTATCACTGGTTGATGAAGTTTGTATACTGCTGAATGATATTTCTACATGCTGTGGAAGAGTGTTTGTGCTGTCTTCTCCACTCAAACCAATTTACCAGAACACCTTTCTAGGCTATACAGTGAAGTTGGCTATTTGTGTTGATGATTCTACTTTTTAAAGTGTGCTGTGTGTAGAGTTATTGCAAACTCTGCTGAATTTTGTGTTGATTGCTCAATGTAGGAAAAGTGCAATGTACATGCGAGTTAAGTACCATAGCAGGGAAACATGTGAGTGTCCTCTGCTATATATACAAGTTCCTTTACTCGATGGTTGGAGTTCTAGTGCATAACCTAGCATGGTTGGTCACTGACATTACAAAAAACGTTCAAGTTTGGTCACTCAAAATATTTAAATCCATTGATGGTACTTCAGTTTACTGAAACCGTTCACGTTTGGTCACTCTCCGTCCAACTCCGTTAACTTTGGCTGATGTGGCAGTCAACTCTCATAGTTGACCGTTAACTTAGTGACGTGGCAATTAAAAAATAATAAATAAAATAAAATTTAATCTATTTTAATGTCCAACTCATTTTTAGCATAAAATAAATAAATATTATAATCTATAAATAAATATTATAATCTAATGTCCAACTCATTAATTAAAACCAAATCTCATCTCCCCGACCCAACGTCTTCTCCGGCTTGTTCGCGAGCAGAGCAGAGGAGGTAGAGCGGCGACTGACGAACTCGTCTTCTTCTCCGACCCGACGTCTTCGTCTCCGGCTTGTAGAGGCGAGCAGAGGGAAGCAGAGCGATGACGATCGATGAAAACAACGGCAGAGTGGAGGGTGGAGCATGAGGGAGGTTGAGCAGATGGGAGGCTCGAAAGAGGGCGGTTCAGGTTCTATTTGGGGAAGACGCAGAAAGATGACGATCGATGAAAACAACGGCAGAATGGATTTAATGATGAATTGTCGGCGATTTCAGATCCAATTTCGTCTTTTTTTTTGTTTTGTTTTGAGGTTTGATTGGTGGGTTGGGGATCAACCTGATGAACTCCTTCCATCCATTGAGCTTGTTCTTGTTAGATTTGGCAATCGACCGATTCGGTTGGATCTGTGCACCGTGGACAACAACAACGTCTTTTGTAGAGCGATGAAGTGGCGGCGGGGCAAGGCGATTGCGGAATCCAGACACGTCCCCGATTCGTTGTAGTGTTTCCTCGCCAGGTTGAACTCTACCATCCGCTGCATCTTCGCCATAGTAGCAAGCCACGAAGTGGATGCAACGGAAATCTCCACCGCCGCCGACGAGGATCCATTTTTCTAGACCACCAAAGCCTCGGTCCTCTGCTCCGCCACTACCAAACTCTCCATTTCGGTTTCCCATCAATTCTTACCCAATCGATCTTGCGGAAGCATAAAAAGACGAGAAGTGGGAGAGACGATGCAGGAAATGGCGATCCCGGCTGGATTTTCTGGTGAGCTGTTTACGTCGGCGTTTGGATAGCTGGAAAAGGGAGAAGAAGAGGAAGCAGCGGCGGTGGTAGGATATATGAGGGGTAGAATAATAATATTTTTACTTTTAGTAATTCTAATGAGGTGGAAAATAAAAAATAAATATTTAATTATTTTTTATTTGCCACGTCACATATTTAACGGTCAACTATGACCGTTGACTGCCACATAAGCTAAAATTAACGGAGACTAACGGAGAGTGACCAAACTTGAACTATTGAACTAATGTTAGTGACTACGAATAGAATTAAATATTTTTAGTGACCAAACGTGAGCTTTTTTAGTAAACCCAGTGACCAAACTTGCAATTTACCCCCTTTATATATGAAAATTATATTCGTCTTACATGACAAATGACACAAATTCAAAGGGTTGCAGTTAAAGACACTATCAAAATTTCAAAAAACTATTTCTCATTTGTTTCAACTTTGATTTAAAAAAGCAGACTAATTGTATTTTACAAGATATCATCCATTTTGATAGAACTTAGAATAAAAAATTTGTATGTCATGAACCATATGATACTATACCTCTACATAGTGGCGGAGCCACGTTGTATTCAGGAGTGGCTATAGCCTGCTCAACTTTCAAATGTAGATAAATTTACGTGTAAAATTTGTAACAAAATAAAAAAATAATATTGATAAGGCTCTAGACCCATTTCCTAACGACCATGGTTCAAATTCCTCAAGTATAAATTTGTTAGCTCCACTCGTTCAAATTTCTGGCTTCTACACTCGTGGTATAGTGGTGGTACGATGTTGGTGTGATGTAGTATATATCATGGTGATCTGATGGCAATACTATGGTGCTAAGGTTGTGATATTCTTATAGTAAACACGTGTTTGGAAGGTCCGAAATCATTTTGGCTCAAAATTATCAGAATGGATATCATTGTGTAGATAATAATTAATACATTTTTTTATTGTGACAAAAACTTTTAAAACTAAAAAAAGATAGTTAAGTTAAGAATAGTAGGGATTATTAAAATTCAAATTGACTATTGAAATTATCTCGAAAATATGAGCTAAGAGAAAAAAAGAAGAAGATTGGGATAAGGTCAACTCATTTGCCTGGATCCCAAATTTAAATGAGCTCAACTTGAGAGATGGTGTAGAATTTGAGTTAATCAATTTTGAAAGTTTGTTAGTGGTTACATATATATATTTATTCACACAGGATGAAGAAATTTGGCTTCCGGTCACACAATCCAACTGGTAAAAACTTTCGAGAGACACTCGATCGGGAAGTATGAGGTCTCATGTTCGACCCACCTTGAGGCCATTTTTGTGGTGTTCCTGTAAGCATAAAAAAGGAATCTTAGTGGATGGCCCAAAGGGCTCAAGCAGATGAACACCCAGGTTTGGTCTCGCTCCGCCATCGCTCAAGCGGTGTGTGCGTGGGGATCGAGACGGGTTACGGTTACAACTCTTCTGTATCAAGGCAAATCTGGGTATTGTAATTTTTTTTATTAACTACTTTATTTGTATTAATTACACTTTGAGAATTAAAAATCTATATTAAATACATTATTAAAAAAAATCGTACAATAAATACATTTCTCTTTCTTTATTTTCTAACAACCACTTTATTTCAATCGGAGAAAGTCCACAGGTCGAAAAGAGATGCGAAGAGCATCAAGCATGAAATTCATTAATGAGCTCTCTGTTCTAATTCTTGCTACAACAATTTCCTTATATATTTAGGTCAATCATCCCAGCTTCTGGGTAATCGAAATATTCCAAAGGGATGATCGTTTCATTTTTCCAGTCGAGAATTTGGCCTCTCCTCATACTCTGTACAATTTGGATTCCCAATCTTCCTCGCCAAATACAGTCAGCACAACTCAATGATTTCTAACTGGTATTCGGCGCCGGATGAGTTCCATACCCATTTGGGTTCTCTTCGGACTGCTTGATTCCAGCTCGATTTGTACCTATTCGTTTTCGTACAAAATTAATAAATATCGAAAAAACATCAATACTTTGAAGCATAATAGATGGGCTCCTCTCCTACCAACCACAACTAATTAAAAACTGACTTCTATATGTTGTTGTGGTGTGTTCTTCGGTCGTCGACTTATTTCCTTAAGAACAGGGAAGTTTTTTAATTGATCAAGAATTGATTAAAAAAAGACTACATAGTGCCAAGTCTACAAAATAAAATAAAAATTGTAATGAAAAAGTCTACTATAATAATAATAATAATAATAATAATAATAATAAAAGACTACATTTATCTTTATATAAGACTCTAATAGTCAATCCTTAAGCCCTAACTCATCCTTCCTAAGAAATGTCAATTTCCAATTAATGAAATAGATGCACTATTATATGCTATTTAAATTTTAATTAAGGCAATTAGCGGTATCCACCCACACATAAAGACATAATTATTATATATAACATTGATCGCCACCATTCAAATTCTGCAATTCCATCCCAATCTCTCTGATACTCATCATCTCGACCAGAAAAGCAAATAGCATACAGTCATGGTTCTCTTTGATTTCAAGTCCGACAAGCACTACGTTGCTTCCTCGGACAATACAACCCTCAAAGTCTACGAGTTGACCAACCCTACTACTGTTAATCCTTCCTCCATCGGAAAGAATCACTGGAAGGAAGCCGCTACCATCACAGCCCGTGATCAAGATCAAAGCAACGATGCATCAGCAGAGGATGAGGAGGAGGAATCTTACGACGGGCTGATGTTCTTCGATGGTCATGGGAAGATCGAGGGACGGGAGGCGTTGACCAAGCTAGCCCAACACCTCACCCGGCTCCAATTGAGGGTCAGCCCTCAAGGGTTTTGCTTCCAGGATGTTACCGGGCTAGGCGAGCACAAAGAGTTTGGGTTTCACTACCTCCGATTGAACGATCTTTTCAACTGGCCGTATCACGGTATCAAAATAGCGGGCATCACCACGTGGCGACGCACGGTGTTGCAGTACTCCGTACCGAGAGTGGAGAAGCGGCCGATGGCTGGAGGAGCTTCCGTGAGCAAGAAGAAGTACGAGGAGTTGAAAAGAATGATCGAAGAAAGGGATGAAAAGATCGGAAAGATGAGGGAGGAGATGGAAGAACAAGATTGGGAGATGGAAAAGCTAAAAGAAGAGAGGGGGAAACACGGGGTAGAGCTACGGGAGTTGGAGAAGAAAAATGGCAAGGAGCTGCGGAAGCTGTCGAAGCAAAAAGATGGCGAGCTGGAAACTCTGAAGAGGGAGAAGGACGTGGAGTTGGAGGAGAAAGACGAGGAGTTAGAGACGTTGAGAAAAGAAAAGGACGACGCAGCAAAGCTGAGCAAAGTGAAGGATGAGGAATTGAAAAAACTGAGGGAGGAGGTGAAGAATATGAAAAGAGCTAATAAGAAGGAAGATGAAGCAGCCGCAGTAGGCGAGAAGGGAAAGATGACGGTGGACATTGATGAATGGCAGAAGCTGAAGAAGGATGCAGCGGAAATGAGGCAAGAGGTAATGAAGAAGGACGAAGAGATGAAAAGAAGGCTAGAAAAAGTGGGAAATGATAACGAAGCATTGCAGAAGCTTGTGAATGAGAAGACCGCCGAGTCTCAGAAGCTAAGGAGCGAGAACGAAGAAATGATGAAAGAGAATGCAGCTGAAATGCGAAAGCTGAAAGACCAACTGTTACAAGTTCCTCGCGAGCCGGAGCAACGTCAACCCAAGCAATCATGGGTGAAGACAACTACAACTAAATTAGTGCCCCTTTCTATGTGCAATGACGACATAATAAGGAGAAGACGACCGGTGCCACGTGATTCTTTTTGCATCGATGAACGCAAATCGGGTAATTTCAACTACCGTCCATATCAGAAGGGGAGCGTGCCGTTCTCGTTTAACAGTTCGATCAGTGCAGTGGATGAAGATCCCAAAGATTGGCCTCCTCCTCCCAAGATGAATGTGTACAGTTCTTCTGGCTCATTTGACCAAGACAGCTGGTGGCTTATGAAGACGACTCACTTGAGTGATGGCAGCTTGACGATGATGGCTTATTATGACGGCAATTTTCGATGTTCTGTCTTCCCGGAGAATTATTACCCTATCCGACTTCCCTATTCGTGGGACAATCATTTAATGGCAGGTACAAGTTTCTTCTTGGTTCACGTAGGCCGCGAATACAAGCTTGCTTTCATGTACCGCGACTAGCTAGGGCGACGACGGGTTGGTGTTGGACTTGGCCCACACAGCCTGAAGCCCACCATCGTTAAGCCTATCAAAGGCCTTTTAATGACAGCCCACTGCAGCCTCCCAAGTCATTATCATCCTTCACCTTGGCTCGTCAATCTCCAAAAGCAGAAGTCCCAAAAGTGCTCCTTTTTCACAAAGCCAGCTCCAAAAACAGAGAAATAGGCATACTGCCTTTTCAGAGCATGAAGTCGGTCACCTCTCACCCTCCAAGAGCCCTTTTGCACCCCTTGATGGAAGCTTCATCATCACCATCTTTTAGTTCCTCAACGGTCATCTTCCTGAAGCTCTATTTAAGAGCTACGAATCCATCTTCTCATATTTGATGGTTCGGCAACGGGAAATAGGGATTCTTTTGGGTTGTTGATGGGTCCAGATTTGCTAGTTTACTCTGTAGATTACAAGAGCAATGGCTGGGTAATCTAAGAGTGTTGAGTTTTCTAGTTTCCTACAATAGCTTGGATTATAGTGATTAAGATCTGGATAGCCGGGTGGGTTATAGTGATCTATATCTGGGTAGCCAAGTGTTGTGAGGGTTCTGAGTTCTTTTTCTGTTCTTCATTTTCTGTTCTTCATCGTCTTCTTTATTCTCTTGTTTAAAGCAGATTGATTCTGCAGATTTCTTCTCTTCCAATTCTAATAATATTTTTAGTTTCATTTTCATCCTCTGTTCTTTCCAATTAAAAGTCTTCAAAAGCCCCATCCTTTGATTCAACAATTGGCAGTTTGGTTTTTTGTCATCAGTAGTTGGGGATCACCTCCGGCGCCGATGCTGCTTGCCGACCAAGCTTTCGGAGGCGTCTAAGTTTCTCTATTAATTCTGCTAAATTTGCTGTATTTTTTTATTTTTTTTATTTCTTCTTTCTTAGTTATTGTCACCCTTTGTAAGATTATTTAAAAGGGAATCACGTTCAACAACAAACAACCCATATATATGGGGCGAGGGAGATGAGGTTCATTTCAGATTTCAGTCGAGTGCAAGAACATCCACCCGAGCAGCGATGGATCCAAGACATAGTAAAGCACTGAGTCACATTTTATTAGAAAATTAGATATTGCAAATTTTTTTTTTCTTCTTACAATATCAATTGTACATGTCCATCTTTTAATATAACAAATTCATCAATAGTGGAGTATACACCCATACGGCATACCAATAGCATACTATTCTCCTTCGAATAAAAAAGTTAACCAATCAGCGAGAACTTCATCGCTCATTTTGTTGCACAAATCATATTTCATCTGTTCCATTGTTGAAAAGGTTTTCTCCATAGTAGTTGTTGACACGGGCAATATCATCACTAGACAAATCAATCGACTAATCAATTTGTATTGTGTGTTCATCCATCTTTCCATGAGATGCTTTAGTAATTTTTCAAGAGAACAAACCTCATAGTTCTTTTAGTCTTGGGTAATGTCTATTTTTTATCCAAATCTTTTTCAGATTCTTTTATATTATCCAAATCTATCGAAATACTAAGAATTAGCCAAATTTTAACTTCCAATTAGCAATTTTGTTAGTAATGATGACTTGGCAACATGATACTGACTTGGAAGAGACACATGAAGGTCAACATTCCAAAATTTTAGTATTTTAACTAAGAAAAGAGTTACAAAATTATTAACAATAACGTAGAAATGGCTAATATTTTGATGCATTACGAAAGATTTGGATAATTAATAGCATTTTCATAGGTGGATAAAAAATAGACATTGCCCTTTAGTCTTTTACGTTTTAGAGTTTTAGAATTTTAGGTTGCATTGTTTGTTTTTATTTAGAAGAGAATCATTGGAGCTAGTATTTCTAGGCTAAATTTGGAGTTGTGATTTGAACATATTCATCTAACCCATTTTCTCAATTATACACAATTTTATTATAAAATAACATTGGACCGAATAGCTAAAATCGATAAACTTATAAGAACTATACTAGCTCCGAATGCAGAAGAGGGCTGGCCCGTAGCCCGGGGCGGCCACCCTTGGATCCGCCACTACCCCGAGAAAGAGTAAGCTTCAACCAATCCCAAGAACCAAACTTATCGCCATTAAAATAAACCCCAAAAGTTTCTGTTCTTGATTTGGTAGATGAGTATTCAGATGCGCAATGCAATCAAAAGCATGATTCTTCTTCTTTTGCTTTCTTTGATTTGCTTTTAGGGTTAGTTTGTGAACTTCTTCTTCTTTTGCTTTTAGGGTTATTTTGTGAAGAAACCTTAGCTGCCACTCTAATTCTCTCTCAACTCTTCTAACCTCTCGATAGAAATGAGAGAATGTTCTGTCCAAACTCTTTTAATTTTGAGTGTTTCTTACATACTTCATTTGTATGGACTCGCATCTGGTCATTGTTTTTTAATAATAAGTCATAATGTATATGAGAACAATAATAAATAATTATATATAGATACATAAAAGCTGTAGTTGTAATGCCATTAGAGTTTAAGTTGACTTTTAATGGGTAAAAAATTTCCACAGATTCCTTCGTTTTAGAAAAAAAAAACTATTTGTCCAACCAAGTAGCACAATTAAGCATGTCAAACTATTTTGTTTTGTACTTTATATACTGATCCCTTCAACAAGTCAACTTTGTACTCACCACTTGCTTTGGAAAAACGAAGTTTAATTAAAATCAAATTGCTATTGGTTTTTTTATTGAATTTATTTTGGTACTGGTTTTCGCTCGTTGTTGGTTTTGGTTGATTATGTTAATGGTATGGTTTTTTTTTTTTTTAAAGAACACACTCATATAGCTTTCAAAATGTTTCAATTTAGAATTTTTAAAAATATATTAAAGTGACCTAAAATAAAATCCTGATCTTTCATTTTATGAACCCATAAAGAATGTTAAAAAAATTTAGCAGCAATATATAAAGGCAAAACATAAAGGCAATATAGATTTTAATGGAATCTACACCTACACAATACATAAAGGCAAAATATGGGTTGGAATTCTCCCATTTCAAATTTCGTGGCCTGAGAGTGATTCTAGAAATGTCATTTTTGTCATTGCACTCAGCTCATATTTATATATTAAAAATGTTATCATTGGAGTTCGAACCTTGCTCACTTGAGCAAAAGTTAACGGAGACTAACGGTCAGTGACCAAACTTGAACCGTTAACCTAATTTAAGTGACTACGGGTGGAATAAAGTAATTCTAGTGGCTAACGTGAACTTTACTAGTAATTCAAGTGACCAAACTTGCAATTTATCAGGTTAATCAAAATATTCCAAAGAGATGATAGTTTCATTTTTCCAGCCGAGAATTTGGCCTCCCCTCGTACTCTGTACAATTTTTATTCTCAATCTTCCTCACTAAATACAGTCAGCAGAAGTTAAGGATTTCGAACAGGTATACGGTGACGGACGATCCAGCTGAGTTCCATATCCATTTGGGTTCTCTTCGGAGTGCTCGATTAAATTCGGTTTGTACCTATTCATTTTCGTACAAATTCAATGTATATAGAAAAACAACAATATTTTTTGAAGCGTAATATAGATGAGCTCCTCTCCTATCCACCACATCTAATTAAACTGACTTGTAATATGTTTTTGGTCGTCGGTTTATTTCTTAAGAATGGAGAAGTATTTTAATCGATGATGAATTGCTTAAAAAAAGACAACATGATCCCAAGTCTACTACAGAAAAACAATTGTAATAAAAGTCTACCAAAATAATAATAAAAGACTACATTTTATTATTTATTGGGGAAAGTCATTCTTTTCCCCCCTTCTTTTAATTAGGTGAAAGGATATTTTCTAAAAGAAAATATGGATGAAGAAGCTGAGACATATCTTCTTTATATTAGAGTCAATCCTTAAGCCCTAACTCATCCTTTCTAAATTCGAAGAAATGCCACTCTCCAATTAATCAACAGATGCACTATTATATGCTAGTTAAATTTTAATTAAGGCAATTAGTTAGCGGTATCCACCCACACATCAAGATTCAAGACATTATTACGTATAACATGATCGCCACCATTCAAATTCCGCAATTCCATCCCAACTCCCCTTTCTAGTTAGCAAATTAGCATTACATTCCGCAATTTCATCTCGACCAGAAAAACAATTAGGATAGCATGGTTCTCTTTGATTTCAAATCCGACAAGCACTTCGTTGCTTCCTCGGACAAGACGACCCTTAAAGTCTACGAGTTGACCAACCCTACTGCTGTTAATCCTTCCTCCATCGGAAAGAATCACTGGAAGGAAGCCGCCACCATCACAGCCAGTGATCAAGATCAAAGCAATGACGAGGAACAAGACAATGGTGACGATCCATCAGCAGAGGAGGAGGAGGAGGAATCTTATTACGACGGGATGATGTTCTTCGATGGTCACGGGAAGATCGAGGGACGGGAGGCGTTGACCAAGCTAGCCCAACACCTCACCCGGCTGCAATTGAGGGTCAGCCCTCAAGGGTTTTGTTTCCAGGATGTTACCGGGTTAGGCGAGCACAAAGAGTTTGGGTTTCACTACCTCCGACTGAATGATCTTTTCAACTGGCCGTATCACGGTATCAGAATGCCAGGAATTGCCACGTGGCGGCGCCTGGTGTTGGAGTACTCCGTACCGAAAGGGGAGAAGAAGCGGCCGATGGCCGGAGGAGCCGTGAGCAAGAAGAAGTACGAGGAGTTGAAAAAAATGGTCGAAGAAAGGGATGAAAAGATACTGAAGCTGAGGGAGGGGATGGAAGAACAAGATTGGGAGTTGGAAAAGCTAAAAGAAGAGAAGGGGAAACACGAGCAGGAGCTACGAGACTTGGAAAAGAAAAACAGCAAGGAGTTGTTGAAGCTGTCGAAGAAAAAAGACGGCGAGCTAGAAACGCTCAAGAGGGAGAAGGACGAGGAGCTGGAGGATAAAATCGAGGAGTTAGAGACGTTGAGGAGAGAAAAGGAGGACGAAGCAAAGTCGAGCAAAGGGAAGAACGAGGAGCTGAAAAAATTGAGGGAGGAAGTGAGGAATCTGAAAAGAGCCAAGAACAACGAAGATGGTGGTGCAGCAACAGCATCATCAGAAGGGAAGATAATGGTGGACAGCGATGAATGGCACAAGTTGAAGAACGACGAGGCGGAGACGAGACAAGAGGTAGCGAACAAGGATGAAGCGTTGCGAAAGGTTATGAACGAGAAGGATGCGGAATCCCAACAGCTTAGGATCGAGAAGGAAGAAATGATGAAAGCGAGTGCAGCGGAAACAGAGAAGCTAAGAAACCAACTGTCACAACTCCCTCGGAAGCAATCGTGGTTACAGACATCTGCAACTAAGTTGGTGTCCCTAACTACGTACAATGACCAAATAATAAGCACAAGACGGGCAGTGCCACAGGATACTTGGAGCTTGTCCAGCGAACTCATATCGGTTATGAGTAGTTTCCAGTACCATTCACTTTGGAACAATTACGCCTTGCCATTCTCGTTTGCAAATGGGCTGTCTTTGGTGGATGAAGATCCGGAAGACTGGCTGCCTCCCCCCAAGATTCGGGTGTACAATGCCAGAGCCGCATTCGACAAAGCCAACTGGTGGTTTGTAAAGACAACCCACCCGGATGGAGGCTTGACGATGATGGCTTATTACGACGGCAGTTTCCATATTTCTAATCTTTCCAGGATGTCCTGCTCTATCCGGATCCCCTATTCATGGGACAATAGTCCATTTTGGGCAGATACAGCTTGCACCCTGATTATGGTGAGCGGCGAGTGGAAGCTTGCTTTCATGTACCGCTGAGTAGCTGGCCTGCTAGGACCAAGGCAAGGCACGGCCGGCTGATCGTTTCCAATTTGTTTTCGCTTCTTTATTTGGTTCTGCAGCGTAACAATTGTTAATTTGGATTTTGTCTATTGGCGGTGAATTGTGATTTCTTTATTAACTAGCGTGGGTCCCGGCCAGTTGGCCGGAGGAAGGAGGCGGTACTTAACAATTGCGTCTAGAGGCTGGTTTTCTTATAGTATAATTTCACGCTACTCCAGTAGGCGGTACTTAACGATACAAAACGGTTAGAACCACAATGAAACCACAATTTCAGTATAAAATATCCGACATGTGCTACAACATGATGAGGTGAAATGCAAGGAACAAGGGTAAAGACAAGAAATTAGAAAAGTTGTAAGAAATTGTTTTTAGTTGTTGAATAATGTAAAAAATAAAATAAAATCCTTACTATATTCAGAATAGACAAACAGGTGGTGCAGGTATCTCAATATATGTCCCGTAGTAGGTGCGGGTGGAGATGGATAATACTCGAGCGGGTATGGGGTGGGGCGGGTCGACTCACTCTTTCATGTATTTGAGAAAAATTTACGTGAAATTTTACTTTTTACGATAAAATGAAGAAAAAAAAAACACTTTATGAATGAAAACAATGATAATAGTATGAGTAAATGAGTCTAACTAGTTGAAAGATCAAGTCTATCTAATTGAAGAAAAGTAAAAATACGAGAAATATGAATAGATATTATGAGAAATTGAGATACAATGGGTCTAGAACAGGGCGGGACGGGACATGATAGGTCGGAAAGTAGATACTCATGCCACACCTCATACTACTGCAAGTCAAGTAAGACGATCAAATTTGATAAATACCCAAGGGACGGATTCAAATTGTCATTTGGAATTTTGGTGCATAAAGAAATCCTAGTGTGGTGTGCTAAAGAAATCTCGATGATTGTGGTAGTAGTTTCCTCATCATTCATGGTTGTTGATAATTAGACAACGACTTCTCAACATTTGGAAATTTGGTGCATATACGCAACTGTTTAACTTCTTTAATGACAAATGACAGATTTTCCTGGACCCTAAATTTAAATGATGAGCTCAACTTGAGAGATAATGTAGAGTTTGGTTTAGTAAATTTTCAGAATGTCTTCAATACTTCTATTGTATGGACGCATATCTGTTCATTGTTTTCTAATAGTCATAATGTATCATTATCATAGTTGTTAATGACATTAGACTTAAAGTATTAAATTGATTTTTTAATGGGTACAATATCCGTTGATTTCTATAATTTAAATACCACTTGTCCAACCAAGTGACACAATCAAGCACGTCAAAGTATTTTTTATATATATTTTTTTACCTCTGATCTAATGATCCCTTCAAGAAGTCAATATTGAATATTGCACTCACCATTTGCTTTAGTAAAAAGAATTTTAATTAAAATCGAATTACAACATGATACCCATCCACAGGATAAAACTTGACGTCCATCTCACTTTAACAAATGAAGTAGTACATATAATGACACACTCAGAGATGAGATGAAATAGAATGGAGAAATGGGTAGACCTCATTTTATAAGCAAATAGATTCCGCTGGATAATTTTTTTTTTCCATAGATAAGGATAAAATAAATACTCAGAGAACAACACACAATCAAATGTGACAGTCGATAAATAGTCGAACTGTCGAATACAATGATTTTTTGTGCCACTTTACCTGTATAATGTTTGCCGAAAGCAAACAAAAAGTAACTGGTAGCTAAGAAGCCAGCAAAACCGATTCCGCTGGATAATGTTAATGTTTCGATTGGTTAATAAAGTCTGAAGCAGGTTTGAAGATATAAAAAAATAAAACTTAACCTCTAATATGTATTGTAGTGTGTTCTTTGGGTTGTTGGCTTATTTTAGAAGGGGAAAGTATTTAATCATGAATTGTTTTAAAAAAATACCAAATTGGTACTATTTACTCGGTCAAGTCTACCAAAAATTATATTTAATCAAGACAGCAGTATATAAAATAAACTTTGTAGCGGAATACAGACGTTTTTTTCCTCCCCACATAGATAGAAGTACATAAACAGGAATTAATTCTAACTCCCACATAATGAAAAAAAGTAAAAGATCTTGAGAAGAAAATAATCCTATTTGACCGCTATACATTGCTAACATCAGAAAATGAAATAATCGGGAATCCCGAGTAACCGGCCAATTCGGCAATATTTTTTACTTTTTGTTATGTTATTGCCTTCTTGGGGTGGTCGGTTGATTAAATGCTCCAACATGAATTGTTTAAAAAAGACTGCATTGGTATTCTTTTTTCTAGTGAGAAAACTGCATTCATTTTTATTTAATAAGAAACTTAAGATTTTTCATTATTCGGCCAAGTATACCAAAAAAATATTAATAAAAAATACAATATACTTTTTTTATTGAAAATAAAGAAAGACTTCACTGTATTTCGGCAAAGTCATTGTCTTTTATTTAGTTGCAATAATATTTTTTAAAGGAAATCTTGAAATTAGGGACAACAATTTCTGATTTGATCCGTGCGATTTGTCTGTCCCACACTTTGTGTTGAGTTGATATAAATATTGATATACCCGCTTCATACGCCCTATTGCCATCATTACCTGAAACTTCTTCATGCTAAACTTAATATTTCAATTACTTGAATCATAAACTTGTTGAAAAGATTATGTGTTGGGGGTATCATTGAACTTGAACTCATGCGTATTCATGCACTCAAAATATTTATTAGGTTTAGTTGAATTTTCTCTTTCAAAATTTATGGAGTATGTTATTAGGTTTCTTTTATGGGTGCAATATTTGGTTTGGGCTTGGAAAAAAAAAGGTACAACGTGACCCGTTGTTATCTCTAATTATGAGCGGATTACTAGTGGAGTTATTTTGTATCACACAACTACCTATCTTTTGAAAGAGTGTTTTTAGATGATTGTTGGCTATAATGTTTGAATTCAAGATGTGTTGGATGTTTTTACCTTAACATTATGACTAGGCCAATACCTAGAGATTTAAAGCCTGCTTTTGGGGAACAGATCAGGTCAGTAACCTTATGGTGAGTAACCATGAGTAACCAGCCAACATCAGCATGACATCAGCATCCTATCTCTCCTGGAAAGCCTTTAATTTTCCCCTCTTTAATCTTTGACGGACGATTTCTCACTCATTTTAAGTCAAAATTTAATTTTTTTTGCACAGTTAGATCAGATTAATTGTGCTCTTCAAAATGATATACACTTCAATATATTTTTCGAACAAAAAAAATTGAGCCATTTTTTACCTGTCTATACCTTATGGTATTGACTGGTATTGAAATAAAAGCATACTTATGGTTTGAAAAACGTACCATGGTGGTATGAACAAACCAAGACTGTAGGATGGTTGAATACATGATAGTAGAAGTATATTAATTGTCATTTACGACTTTTAACATTGTATACCACACAATACCACCCCGTACCAGGGTGGTATTGTATGGTATCGTGTGGTATTTTTTGGTCATGTAATTTGTTCACCCAGAAATTTGTAGATCCAATAGATCATGATGAACTCATCCCTTCTGTGCAAACGTTTTCAAAAATGAATTAAAAACGAAGAAGATACCAAACAATACCACCCCGTACCAGGGTGGTATTGTATGGTATTGTGAGGTATTTTTTGGTCCTGTAATTTGTTCACCCAGAAATTTGTAGATCCAATAGATCATGATGAACTCGTCCCTTCTATGCAAACTTTTTCAAAAACGAATTAAAAACGAAGAAGATACCATATGGTATGCAGTTGGTACCGAGAGGCCAGAATTTTTTTTTCTAAAAAATATTGAAAATTGTTCTCATTTGGTAGAGCACGATGAACTCGTTCCATCTGTGCAAAAAAATTAAAATCCGAGTTAAAACGAAAAAGATATGAGCCGATTAAGAAAGCTAGGAAACATAAAAATGGTCCTTAATTTTCCATCTTTAGATCTGGATTTTCTAAATGAAGAGTCCAGATTTGGTTATTGATGGATGCATAACCCATGGTTATGCACTCTATCTTGAGCCCTGCTTTTGTAGAATTGTACCGTTTAGACATTTCTGCTTTTGGACATGCAGTTACTTTTTAATAACTTCATGACTACAAAATATCATTCCTTTTGATACATTTTTTTAATAAAAAAGAATGTTTTTTCATAAACTGTATCATGGTGGTATATTTATTAATTCGAATGTTTTTTCATAAATATATCAAAATGACCACATTCGTAGGAATTCTTACTAATTTGGCTAGCTATGCTAAGTACTCAAAATTTAGAGAACTGTAAAATGCATTGGCAGTTATTTTTTTTATTTATTTCTTTTATTAGTCCAAACTTTAAGCGCAAACTCATCCTTTCTTAGAATTTTCATTTTTTCTTCCTAAAAAAGAAGTTCATTTTTCGATTAATTAATAGATGTACTCAGCAGCACTATAACATACACTGTTTATATTTTAATTAAGGTAAGCGGTCAGTTGGGAGATCCAGACATTGTTATATATAACATGGTGGCCACCATACAAATTCTGCAATCCCATCCCAACTCCCCCAGCAAAGAAGCATTCCATCCCAATCTCTCCGATAGTACTCATGGTTCTCTTTGATTTCAAGTTCGACAAGCACTTTGTTGCTTCCTCGGACCGAAACACCCTTCAAGTCTATGAGTTGACAAACCCTAATGTCAATCCTTCCTCCTCCCTTCGAAAGAATCATTGGAAGGAAGTCGCCACCATCACTGCCCGTGATGACTACAACGAGGACGAAGGCGACGACGATGGTGCGTCAACGGAGGAGGAATCCTTCAGCGGTCTGATGTTCTTCGATGGTCACGGGAAGATCGAGGGGCAGGAGGCGTTGACCAAGCTAGCCCAACACCTTACCCGACTGCAGTTGAGGGTGATCCCTCAAGGGTTATGTTTTCAGGATGTTACCGGGTTGGGCGAACACAAAGATTTCGGGTTTCACTATCTCCGATTGAACGATCTTTTCAACTGGCCGTATCATGGTATCAAAATGGCGAGCATCGCCATGTGGCGACGCCTGGTGTTGGAGTACACCGTACCAAAAGGGGGGAAGCGGCCAATGGTCGTCGGAGGTGTGAGCAAGGAGAGGTACGAGGAGCTGCATAAAAAGATGATCGAAACGAAGGATGAAGAGTTGGGAAAGCTGAGGGAGAAGATGGAAGAACAAGATTGGGAGATGGAAAGGCTAAAAAAGGAGAGGGGAAAGCATGAGACAGAGCTTCGCGAGTTGAAAAAGCAAACCGGCAAAGAGATGCGGCAGCTGAGGGAGGAGATGGAAGAACGAGATTTGGAGATAGAGAAGCTGAAAGAGGAGAGCGAAAAACACGAGCAAGAGCTACGAGACTTGGAAAAGAAAAATAACAAGGAGCTGCGAAAACTGTCGAAGAAAAAAGATGGCGAGTTAGAAACGCTCAAGAGGGAGAAGGACGAAGAAGTGGAGGATAAAATTGATGAGCTAGAGATGTTGAGAAAAGAAAAGGACGAGCGGTTGAAAAAATTGAGGGATGAAGTGAAGAATCTGAAAAGAGCCAAGAAGGAAGATGGAGCAGCATCTGGAGTAGATGAGAAAGGGAAGATGATGGTGGACAGTGATGAATGGCACAAGTTGAAGAACAACGAGGCAGAGATGAGGGAAGAGGTAGCGAACAAGGATGAAGCGTTGCGAAGGATTATGAACGAGAAGAAGGACGCCGCAGCGGAATTCCAAAAGCTAAGGATTGAGAAGGAAGAAATGATGAAAGCGAATGCAGCGGAAACAGAAAAGCTAAGAAACCAACTGTCACAACTCCCTCGAGAGCTGGAGCAACGTCGTCGTAAGCAATCATGGATACAGACAGCTGCAACTAAGTTGGTGTCCCTTACTAAGCGGAATGACCAACTAATAACAAGTGCAAGACGGTCGGTGCCACCTGATACTTGGAGTTTGTCCCTCGAACTCACCTCGGGAACTGGATCAGGTATGTTCCAGTATCAGTCACGTAGGAAAAGCTCTTGGCCATTCTCGCTAGCATTTGGAATCTCTTTGGTGGATGAAGATCCTAAAGAGTGGCTACATCCACCCAAGATTCGGGTCTACGTTTCCGAAGGCTCATTCGACAAAGACAACTGGTGGTTTACAAGGACAACCCACCCGGATGGCGGCTTGACGATGATGGCTTATTATGACGGCGATTTCCTTTCCTCTATTTTCCCCGGGAATAAATACCCAATACGATTGCCGTATGCATGGGACGATAACACTTTTTGGGCAGATACAGCTTGCACCCTGGCTATGGTGGGTGGAGAATACAAGCTTGCTTTCATGTATCGCGAGTAGCTGGCATGATCTGTTGTGGAGTACGTAGTAGTGACATGTTGTCTACGTACTTGTCCTTAAATGTCAGCTTGTTTTAGTTCATGGACTTAACTAGGTTATTTGCAATTCCTAGGTGACTGTAAAGGAGGTTGCAAACCCTATATATATTTGTACCTCTTGCTGCACGCTGAGCATGATTTTATGCGCAGTGTGTGAGCAAAACCCTAATAACACAAAATGGAAGACTCCTTGTGTGAGTCTTCCGTGGACTAGTCTCGTTCATATGAACGAGGATACCACGTAAATCTTCGTGTCGTTATTTTCGTTTCTTGAGTTTTATCATGGTATCAGAGCGGTGATCCAATCCATCCCGCGTTATTCCTGTCTAGCGCTATGGTCTCTGACGACGAGAAGATGAAGTCGGCTGAGACAGAATCGTCGTTCAAAACTGGTTTTGGAGGCGGCGGAGATGGTCTTCCTCCAGCCTTCATCCTCCATAATTCGGACAGTCCCAATCAGCTGTTTGTGGGCGATTTGCTTACTGATACTAATTACGGTGAGTTGCTTTGTGATATACGTGACTCCTTTATTTCAAAGAACAAAATCGGGTTCGTGGACGGGTCTATTCCACAACCCACGACGGGTGTTCTTAGTGATCAGTGGCAGCGATGCGATGCCATGGTGAAAGGCTGGTTAAAAACAGCCATGGGTAAGGAAATCTGAACCAACGTTCGGTTTGCACGCACGGCTCGAGAAATCTGGCTCAATCTTGAGGGAAGATTCGGCCAAGGTAGCTCCGCTCGTTTGTATGAGTTGCGACGGGGCATTGCTCTTTTACAACAAGAAAAATCCAGCGTATCTAGTTTCTATACGAAGCTCCGCGGCTTCTGGGATGAGATTCAGTCGATCTCGCCCACTCTTGATTGCAGCTGCGGCGGCTCCAACTGCGACGTCAAACGGAAGCATATAGCTACCAAGACAAGCGAGCAGCTCTTTGACTTATTAATGGGACTCGACGATGTTGTTTCAGGTCGAAAAATTGGGGACTGTTCGCACCGTTCTTGCTGTTGCTGCTCATCGGGGTTGGCATCTTCATCAGATGGATGTCAACACTGCCTTTCTTCATGGCGATCTGCATGAAGAAGTATACATGAAATTGCCGCCTGGGTTTGCTCGACCGGGGGACAATTGGGTTTGTCGTCTTCGCAAATCCCTCTACGGCCTGAAACAGGCCTCTAGAAACTGGTATATGAAGTTCACCCAGTCTCTCCAGGAATTCGGCTTCCAGCAGCCCAAGGCCGATCACTCCCTTCTCACTTATCGGCGTAATGGTCAGTTTACCTTTGCACTCATTTATGTGGATGACATTATTCTGGGCAATGATGATCTAGCCACTATTCAGCATGTCAAGGCCTTTCTCAACGACCGTTTTATCATAAAAGATATGGGGTACTTTGAAGTACTTTTTGGGCATTGAAGTTGCCCGCGCTCGTAATGGTTTGGTTCTTTCTCAGAGAAAATACACCCTTGACATCTTAAAAGATGTTGGGGCTCTCGCGGCTAAACCATATGCTTTTCCCATCGAGCAAAATCATCATCTTACTCGGATTGAAGGCCCTGCAGCCAAGGATCATTCCGGGTTTCGGCGCCTTGTTGGTCGTTTGCAGTATCTGACTGTCACTCGACCCGATATTGTCGATGCTGTCAACATTCTTAGTCAGGCTGCTCATTCACCCCGACAGGAACATGAGGCAGCAGCTTATAGAGTTCTCCGGTACCTCAAGGGTGCCCCTGGCCGAGGTCTTCGTTTTGCTACGTCAGGCCAACTCAAGTTAACTGCTTACTATGATGCAGACTGGGGCGGCTGTCAGCGAACCTGGCGCTCTACCACATGTTTTTTTATCAGTCTGGGCAACAGTTGCATTTCCTGGCGCACGAAGAAACGGTCAGTTGTTGCTCGTTCTTCAGCCGAAGTAGAGTATCGAGCCATGGCGAGCACTGTTAGCGAGCTCATTTGGCTTCGTTGGCTTCTTAGTGAGTTGGGTGTACCCAGTCCTACTTCAGTTCCGCTACATTGTGATAACCAAGCAGCTCTTCACATTGTTGCCAATCCCGTCTTTCATGAACGTACAAAGCATGTTGAGATAGATTGTCACTTTGTTAGGGAGCGCGTGATGTCTGGTGAGGTCGCACCTGCAAGATTTCCTCTCATGATCAAGTCGCTGACATGTTTACCAAAGGCCTTGGCGCGGAGCAGTTTGGTTTTCTATCGTCCAAGCTTGGCCTTCATGACATTCATGCCTCCGCTTGAGGGGGCGTGTTGTGGAGTTAAAAGTAGTGACATGTTGTCTATGTACTTGTCCTTAAATGTCAGCTTGTTTTAGTTCATGGACTTAACTGGGTTATTTGCAATTCCTAGGTGACTGTAAAGGAAGTTGCAAACCCTATATATATTTGTACCTCTTGTTGCACGCTGAGCATGATTTTATGCGCAGTGTGTGAGCAAAACCCTAATAACACAGAACCGAAGACTCCTTGTGTAAGTATTCCGTGGACTAGTCTCGTTCATATAAACGAGGATATCACGTAAATCTTCGTGTCGTTGTTTTCGTTTCTTGAGTTTTATCATGATCATTTCCAATCTGTTTTCCGCTTCTTTATTTGGTTTTGCTTGTAACAATAATTTGGATTTTGTCTATCAGCTGTGGATCGTGATTTCCTTGTTAACTGATCAGGTCAGTAACTGATAGGTCAGTAACCCCTTCCCCGGTCCCGGGAGCAGTTCCTGTAAGTAACCTACCGGTGAGTAACTATCAGTAACCACCGGATCGGCCGTCCATTGCACTCCATTAATAACCGTCAGATGTAGAATAGCAAATACACGTAGGGGTATAATAGTAACTGACCTTCTGACAATTTGAAAAAGGTAACTGACCTTCCCCGCCATCATTATCACCAACTCTGTACAAACAGAAAAATCACAGGCGGTTCGAGTTCCATCTCTGCTTTTCGCTCTGCATTTACGCAATCCATTCTCTCTCCCTCTCTCTCTCTCTCTCGCATTTCATCTTCGCAAACTGCACCATTGAAATCGAAGTCGAATCTTGAATTTTCATTTCGCTTAGCAAAGGATACTGATCTCAGTTCTTCAGCGATCAAGTGAGAGTTTCCAGACTTCTTCAGCGACAAAGTTAGGGTTTCCAACTACGACGTCTTCAACGATCAAGGTAAATCATCACTTCTTTCTTCAAAAACTAGATTCGTGATTCTGCATGTCTAATTTCAAGTACATACTTCACAAATACCAAACGAAAAACTCTACTATGCTTAATGTTTTCACAATACCACACTGGTACCATGTGGTATTCGAAAGGGAAAAAGTTCTAGCAGTGGACAAAGTACTTACAGTGAAATACAAAACCTATTCCATACTCTGATATTTTTACAATTCCACACTGGTACCATATGGTATTCTAAGTAGAAACCATTCCAGTAGTAGTCAAAGTAAGAATGAAAAATATTTTATAGGAAAAGTATAAAAACCTATTCTATGCTCTGATTTTCTTACAATACCACACTGATACCATATGGTATTCTAAGGAGAAACCACCCACGTACTGGTCAAAGTACTTACAGTGGTATGGTATGGTATGGTATGGTAATGTATGGTAGTTGGTGTTTTTGCTTACTGGTAGAATATGGTATGGTATGGTATGGTATGGTATGGTATGGTAGAATATGGTATGGTATGGTATGGTAGTTGGTGTTTTTGCATACTGGTATAATATGATATGGTATGGTATGGTATGGTATGGTAGTTGGTGTTTTTGCATAATGGTATAATATGGTATTGTATGGTATGGTATGGTATGGTATGGTATGGTATGGTATGGTAGAATATGGTATTGTATGGTATGGTAGTTGGTGTTTTTGCTTACTGGTATAATATGGTATGGTATGGTATGGTATGGTATGGTATGGTCGTTGGTGTTTTTGCATACTGGTATAATATGGTATTGTATGGTATGGTATGGTAGTTGGTGTTTTTGCTTACTGGTATAATATGGTATGGTATGGTATGGTATGGTATTTGGTGTTTTTGCTTACTGGTATGGTATGGTATGGTATGGTATGGTATGGTATGGTATGTTATAGCAATTCTTCTATTCTGGATGCAGGTACATCATGTCGAGACATGGGGACGATTTTCGCACAAGGTGCAGCCCAACAAGAATCAACACACTTTCAAGAACATTAACACCTGAACAGAGGGAAAAATTGCAGGAATTAGGCCTTGATGGCTTAACATGCATCCAGCAAACAAAGATAAACAAGAACTTTGCTCTATTCACAATGAACAAGTAGAATCCAACAAAGCAATCATTCAAGCTGCCTGATGGAAACTACATGAAGATATCGCCAATTGACTTTCATAGAGTTTATGGTCTACCAATGGGTAAGAAGGAAGTGACGCTGAAGAAATTATCACTGGACGAAGCAGTAGACTATGCATGTCAGGTCCTACTAGAACTAGAAGCTCCAGCTACAAATGGAAGGGTAAAATTAGCTAACGTAGAGCATGACGTTTCTAATGCTCATACCATTGAAATATGGATCAAACTGTTCTGGGTTCTGGTTACGGGAGCTCTATTGTGCCCATTTTCAAACCCAACTGCTGTGTTGAATGTGATGGAGTACTTACAGCCAGACAAAATCAAGCATTTCAAAGAATACAATTGGTGCAAGTTCTTCTTCGACTATATGAATGAGGGGTTGAAAGTAAAAAACCTGTACGTCAATGCAGATCTTCATTTCTTAACAGTAAGTATCTATACCCTCAATAATTTCATTTCAATTAGTATACCCTAAAGCATTACAAATCCTAGTACATCAATACTAATACAACTGTTTCTCCTTCCCACAAACAAATAAAAGGTATGCTTCATGTACAAGTTGGATGAAATGGCCTTCTCCACACAGTTTCAAACCCCAACAACAAACTACTATGATGACATTGCTGTGCAAAGAAACTATGAAAACATACAAAGCTACTACGGTGGAGAAGAACTTCATGAGCTCATGAAGATACAGGATAAAGAAGAGAAGATCGATGACACCAGCAGTGATGATGATGACAACAACACAGACCAACAACCATCAACATCACTCATATTTGATTTGAAGATGATCAAGACTATCCCCCAAGTAAGTATAAATTACCATATGTTACAAATTGTGCACTTCATATAACTAATACCAAACATGAACCATGGTGGTAATATATGGTATTGTACTGTATAATGCACATACCATCCATTACCACCATGGTAATATGTGGTATTCTACTGTAAATTTTAACTTACAGACCAAAAAATCACTAATGCAGGCTGAGAGAGCACTGAAGCTGGTGAAAACATCAATAAAAGCTATGTTGCAATCAATCAAGATGCAATACAAAGCTCAAATTGATGAGCTTGTCAAACACAAGGAAATGTTGGAGCTGAAATCTGATGACAACTTTCATGCTGTGGAAGGAGAAAGATCTGATGACGTGATTGTCGAAGATGATGAAGATGAAGAAGATGCAAACCTGGAACAAACTCTGAAGAATTTTTTTGACAAGGTACAATCAAACAAAATGAAAGCAACCACAGTCAATGACTATGAAGAAAATGATGATTCTCAACGGACAACAGTGGATCTAGCTGAACCAACACAATGGAAGAAAAGGAAGACTCAAGATGGTTCTCCAACAAAACCAGAAGCTCAACATCAAACAGAAGTACCAACAACAGAGAATCCTGCTGAAACTGCTGAGAAGAACCAAGGAAGTTCAGTTCCAGAGAATGTAAACCAGGAGG